AAACATAAGGTGGCCAAAGTCTGGCGGCCGTGAAGCTGCAAAAGGCCCCTCAGGACCGGGATGCTGCCTAACAAAGGGTGCAAAGCGCGCTGGAGGACGCTTAAAGCCAGGCTACTGCCTCAACGTCGCTTTCTGCAGCCAGTACAGAACCTCTCTGAAGGCGCCTAAAGATGGCCAAAGGACTGCGCTTGGCAGCCGAGCCGGAAAAGGCGCCAAGAAGCCTTTCCAGTCAAATGTGGGCATGGAATACCCCTTTTCCTCTGACGCGCTCCCGCTGCTGCAGCTGGGGTCGGCGGATATTAATAGACCAGGATGATTTGAAGCAAATTGGAAGGATTTCTGGGGGTATCCCATGCTGACAAAACCGAGTTGGGATGAAGGACCAACATCACATAGTCACACTGAAAAACAGCTTATGGACGGTGGGATTTCACAGAACTCATTGGTTTCAACAACCCGAAAGCAGCATAGATGGGGGTTGGCCTGGACATGTTACGAGAACCACCAACATCAAAAGGTTTATCATCATCATTTTCTCCATGAAGTGGCTATTTGGTTGGTTTATCTTATTTTCAGTCACACGCAAGGAAGAACCTCATGAGTCTAACATCTTAAACAAGAAAAACATGCAAAGGCTCCGAAACATGTTTTGATGAATCCAAAACCGCCGGACAACGATGAGAGCAACTGTAACACTATCAACAACATCTTCAAAACTCCGGAAGTTTCTGTGAAAAAACATCTTTCAAGTAACCAAAAACCAAACATCCAATCCAATCAATAACTGCAACATACATCAGACATCCAACCAATCCAATCAATCCAATCAATCCAATAGATCCAAACAATCCAATCAATCCGATCAATCCAATCAAACAATCCAATAATAGAAATTGTGAAGAATAAAACTCAGACATCCAATGAATCCAATCCTAGCCGTCCTAGTCGTTTTAGCCAAGGATCAAACTGACTGCGGAGGCGGACCTCAAGGACTTCCAGTACCTCAACTGAGAATCCGACGAAACGGAAAGCCATGGGGGGAAGGAAAATGTGTGTATGAATCTTTGTCGAGGTAATGAGACATTGCAAAGTCATCGATGCGGAGCTTACCCCCTACAAACTGGGTGTGGAAATCATGGTTTCCTGTTTGAGAATATCCCATTCCAGCCATTGGATGATCATCATCTCCATGAAACCCATTTTCAGAGCTACCCAAACCTTTGAAGATCTGCAGCCGGTTTCGCTGGAGGTTTGTACTCCTGGACGACAAAGGAAGATGTCCTGAAGTGAGCGGCGAAGAATGGGAAGTTGAGGAATGGATGGATTGGATGGGGGCGTTTCTGGTTTTGGCGCCAAACTGGGGGTTCAAGCTGCCGAACATAACATAAAACCCCAAGTATCCCCAAGTTATTTGAGGTTTATGAACTCATTGTGACAAAATGTCAAAAGTAGGCTCATCATTTGGGTTTTACTAGATTACATTGTGTGAGATCGGAAGATCATGGCAATGGGAAATCACTCATTTGTAACTCTTCAGCCTGTTGATTCCCAGACAGATCTCCCGGCGCCAGAAAGACATGCAAGACAAATGCACCACCTACATCCGCTATGCGGACGAGAAGTACCCCTTTAAAAACAACCAGCGGTCGCTGGTAAAGACTGTCCTGCACATCCAGCGCAAGAGCAACTTGGCTGAGCCTCCAGGGGATTTGATGGGCCTGCAGTGATTTGGGCCGCAGAACTGAAGTAGACAGGTTTTTTTTAAGAGTTCCCCTTCACTTTTCTGCAAAGCAACCGAAAAAAAAATCGCCTTTTCTAGGCTGAAGATAGACAACCGAACTTCCGGAATGGAGGCGATAATTCCTGAGCCACCGCAAAAACCCCGGCAATACTAAATATGTATTGGACGGTTTTCGAGATTGCTCAGGTAATTTTATGTAATTTTTATGGCTTCTTACCCACATCAAACTCGGGCAATGGCCACTTCCACAACAAACACTTTTTAAGAATAGCGTAGCTTAGCCTCGAACAAAATCTGTGGGAAAATCACGATTTTTAATGGGTCAATCAACTATAAATGGCAATTTTCAATATACAGCTATGTTAGTCATTACCAGAGTGTATTCATGGGCTAATTCAAGCAGCTACCATTGCATTGCAATGGACCTCCTCTACCATCTCCTCTCTCAGTTGGATTGTCATAGAAATTTCAGGCAATTACCCTCTGGTAAACATACAACAGAATATTGAAAATTGCCATTTAAAGTGGATTTACCCATTACAAATGGTGATTTTCCATAGTTATGTAACAGTTTACCAGAAGGTAGTACCTGATTTTTTATGGGCATCATACATCATATAAATGATATGCACACATCTATTGGGGAGTGATCATAGCGTCGATTTTCGGCAACCACTACGGCTGGTCGTTTGTTATGCACCCGCCGCCGTTGGCAAATATCGGCAACTGATATATGGCACTACTCAGGATTACTGAGGTAAGTACTACACAAGTCAAATATATGCGCTAACTATCTAACATACCTATACATAATTATAGAATGGGCTAGCGCCCTGGTGCCGCCGACCCCCCCTATTTGGGGGGTCCTGTAGAGAGAGGGAGAAAGAAAGAAAGAAAGAAAGAAAGAAAGAAAGAAAGAAAGAAAGAAAGAAAGAAAGAAAGAAAGAAAGAAAGAAAGAAAGACAGAAAGACAGAAAGACAGAAAGACAGAAAGACAGAAAGACAGAAAGACAGAAAGATAGATAGATAGATAGATAGATAGACAGATAGCTAGATAGATAGATAGATAGGTAGATAGATAGATAGATCGATGGATAGATAGATAGATAGCTAGCTAGCTAGATAGATAGATAGATAGTCAGAAAAAGAGAGAGAAAGAGAGGAGACCTTAAGCACCTTTCGGTCCATCAGTGGATTCGCTCTGCCATCCCGGATTCACAACAGCCAAGCTCTCCTATAGGTTTCCTATTTTTGAAACTTCCGCCACCAAGAAGCCATTGATGTGTGGCCTTGGGGTGCCTGTTGGCTGCAGGATGAAGCATGCCAAGGAAATGTTTAAGCGGTGGCATTTAGGGCTGGCAAACGGCAGGCTTGGACGCCCATAAGAAGCCATTGATGTGTGGCCTTGGGGTGCCTGTTGGCTGCAGGATGAAACATGCCAAGGGAATGTTTAAGCGATGTGGCCTTGGGGCAGCGCTATTGCCTGCACGGTTCGGCGTTCCGAGCAGCTTTTGCACAGTTTGCAGGGTTTTAAGGGTTTTAAGGGTAAGCGTTCAAGGCCTGGCAAACGGCAGGCTTGGACCCCCATTACGGGTTGTAAAGGTTTTAAGGGTTTTGAGGGTTTTAAGGGTTTTAGAGGTTTAAGGGCTGGCAAACGGCACGCTTGGATGCCCATAAGAAGCCATTGATGTGTGGCCTTGGGGTGCCTGTTGGCTCGGGGTGGAGCATGCCAAGGGAATGTTTAAGCGATGGCTTTTAAGGGCTGGCAAACGGCAGGCTTGGACGCCCATAAGAAGCCATTGATGTGTGGCCTTGGGGTGCCTGTTGGCTGCAGGATGAAACATGCCAAGGGAATGTTCAAGCGATGTGGCCTTGGGGCAGCGCTATTGCCTGCACGGTTCGGCATTCCGAGCAGCTTTTGCACAGTTTGCAGGGTTTTAAGGGTTTTAAGGGTAAGCGTTTAAGGCCTGGCAAACGGCAGGCTTGGACCCCCATTACGGGTTGTAAGGGTTTTGAGGGTTTTAAAGCGTTTTAAGGGTTTTAAGGGTTTAAGGGCTGGCAAACGGCAGGCTTGGACACCGATAAGAAGCCATTGATGTGTGGCCTTGGGGTGCCTCTTGGCTGCAGGATGAAGCATGCCAAGGGAATGTTTAAGCGATGGCATTTAGGGCTGGCAAACGGCAGGCTTGGACGCCCATAAGAAGCCATTGATGTGTGGCCTTGGGGTGCCTCTTGGCTGCAGGATGAAACATGCCAAGGGAATGTTTAAGCGATGTGGCCTTGGGGCAGCGCTATTGCCTGCACGGTTCGGCGTTCCGAGCAGCTTTTGCACAGTTTGCAGGGTTTTAAGGGTTTTAAGGGTAAGCGTTTAAGGCCTGGCAAACGGCAGGCTTGGACCCCCATTACGGGCTGTAAGGGTTTTAAGCGTTTTAAGGCTTTTAAGGGTTTAAGGGCTGGTGGATGTGGCCATGGGGCAGCTGTTGCCTGCGCGGTTCGGCAGCGCTTTTGCCTGGCAAACGCAGCTTTTTGCACAGTTTGAGGGTTTTTTTAAGGGTAAGCGTTTAAGGCCTGGCAAACGGCAGGCTTGGACCCCCATTACGGGTTGTACGGGTTTTAAGGGTTTTGAGGGTTTTTAAGCGTTTTAAGGGTTTTAAGGGTTTAAGGGCTGGCAAACGGCACGCTTGGACACCGATAAGAAGCCATTGATGTGTGGCCTTGGGGTGCCTGTTGGCTGCAGGATGAAGCATGCCAAGGGAATGTTCAAGCGATGGCATTTAGGGCTGGCAAACGGCAGGCTTGGACGCCCATAAGAAGCCATTGATGTGTGGCCTTGGGGTGCCTGTTGGCTGCAGGATGAAACATGCCAAGGGAATGTTTAAGCGATGTGGCCTTGGGGCAGCGCTATTGCCTGCACGGTTCGGCGTTCCGAGCAGCTTTTGCACAGTTTGCAGGGTTTTAAGGGTGTTAAGGGTAAGCGTTTAAGGCCTGGCAAACGGCAGGCTTGGACCCCCATTACGGGTTGTAAAGGTTTTAAGGGTTTTGAGGGTTTTTAAGGGTTTTAAGGGTTTTAGGGGTTTAAGGGCTGGCAAACGGCAGGCTTGGACACCCATAAGAAGCCATTGATGTGTGGCCTTGGGGTGCCTGTTGGCTCGGGGTGGAGCATGCCAAGGGAATGTTTAAGCGATGGCTTTTAAGGGCTTGCAAACGGCCTTCGAAAGCTAAGAAGGAGAAGTTCCACACCTGCGGTGGTCCCAGGCGCCGCCCCTGCCTTGGCCAAGGCCGGGGTCGGCGGATATCTGACATACCTATACATAATTATATATACCTACAAGTTGCATGCATATATCTATATAATATATTAATATAGAGTCATATATATATAATATCCAATCTCCAATACGTGGATGTCCCGACTTGAGATGTAAGCACTTTACTCATGTGGATCTTCATCAATCCAACTTACATAGGCGATTGCTACTTCCACCACGTCATGATCACCTATATAAAAATGTATATATGATCCCGTCTTCCGCCCGCGAGGTCCCCCCCCCTCCCCCCCGAATGGGATGGGTCCCCAGGTAGCCCCCCCTCCCTTCTATTTGCAAATGGGATGGGTCTATTGCAAGCTATTGGCAGCATTTCTGAGGTCCAGCCTCGTCATTTGCTAGGTTTTTGCAGCGATTCTGACTACCAGCCTCCCATTTACTAGGTACATGCTACCCTTTAGACGACCTGCGTAGCACACATACTCCCTCAAAGTACCTACGTGCTATCTATAGTTATATATACATGTGCTATGTATCTACTTCCTATATATATATGTATATATATATACATGTTATAGATACATACATATGTATATATATATATATATATTCATATTCGTATTTAAATAAATAATTAAATCAATATATCTATATATATATACATGTCTATACACACATATATATACACATATATACATATATTCACATATATATATATATACACATATAAGCAAATATATAATTATATATATAATTATATATAATTATATATATAATTATATATATAATTATATATATATACGCAGTACCACACCCCCACCACACCACAGGGGGGGCGGGGAACATAGCTCCTGTATATCCATACCCATCCCTGCTACTAACTACTACTAACCCCCCCCACCCCCTACCCACCCACAGGGGGGGCGGGGAACATAGCTCCTGTATATCCATACCCATTCCTACTACTAACTGCTACTCAGTACTACTAACTACTACTACTACTACTACTACTACTACTACTACTACTACTACCTACCCACCCACAGGGGGGGGGGCGGGGAACATAGCTCCTGTATACCCATACCCATTGGGGGGGGGAGGGGGGGGACCTGGGAGGCTGCATTCATATATATATACATAAATATATATACATATATATATATATATATACATATATATATATATACATATATATATATACATATCTATACACTTGCCATACACTGCAATCAGTTTATATAGTATATCCCATGAAGATATTGGGCTCCGAGGTGACTACTACTTCCACAACGTCATGATTAACATCTTCCTGGTGAATGTCATCGCCCTCTTCGCCTTCTCTGTGCCGATCCCGGACGTCGGGGATCGCTTGGGCTTGCTGAGTGGCACCTTGGTGGCGGTCACGGCCTATCAGTCGGTGATCAACTCGGTGATTCCGTAGCGCGGCTGCAGCTGCGAACAGGAGTTCAGTGGAATGGGCATGATGGACATGGCAAAATTCCAGAAATTTTTGGGGAATTCCAGATACATTTAAAGAAAATTTCGGTCCGGCAAATTTTTCCAGAGATTTTTGGGGAACTCCAGACATGTTCAGGGGATTTCGGTCGGAGTACCCAATGCAACTGCTTATTTGAGAAAAACATGATGAACTGCAATTTTCATGGGTGAAACTGCAACGCGTGTAGTGGTACCCATTTTGGACTGACCCAAGCTATGTTGGTTTTCCATTTCAAGGTGTGTACATTTGTAGCGCTACGTATATCTATACAGTATGATACACACTTGATGCAATCATATGTATACAAATTGTACATATGTATATTTTTCAATGTACGTTTGGAATATACGTTTACTTATTTACATAATATATATATATTATACACAGGTATGTGATTGTTTGTATAATTGTGTATATATATATATTATATATATGTATGTGTATGTCTATGTACATATATACATGTATACACATGTGTATACATTTGACATGACAGACTTATATACTTTACATAACAATAAACACGTACAATGCAACAACAACCATACACATGTATGCACATATTCATGCATTATAAATATATATACATATCTTGTAGTTGGTTGCCGCAGTTCATCATGTTCATCCACCAGGCATGGAGTTCTGAGGCGAAAACCGCATCTCACACAGTGTGACAAGTACGTGATCTTTGCTGTGGTCTTCCAGGTTTCGGAGTTGAACCAACAACGACGCCCCTTTTGGGGGCCTGGGGCGTTTTGTGGCAAGCTTTGGAACAAACTAAAGAAAGAACCTGAGTTGTGGCAAACCTTCGTGTCTAGTGATTTTTCCTATACTTCCTATGTTTTCCTATGATATTCCCATTTTTTTCGGATTTCCCGGCCAGCCGCGGAGCTTTTTAGACTATCACCAAGCTTCACCAGCCTCGCCAGCTTGCCAGGTGGCCTTGGGTTGTGAGACGACTGTGCTGGCCTTCTGCACACAGTTTTTGGAGAAGTCCTTGGAAACCCAAGAGGTGCCTGGGCCCCGCCAACGCACTGGCCAGTGATGCCCAAGACGGTCGATGAATGATGGGGGAATACAGTAGCCATCTAGAAACAACACACACACCTGGCTGCGGTGTCAAATATTCATTCATTCATACATATATATATATATGTATTGTTTTTCGACCATACTTGGGATCATTCTTTGAGATGACTCACATATGGGTTGCTGCATGGGTGCAAAAAAGTTGGGTGGTTGAATTCAACCATGCCCGAAAGTGGGTAGGATTAGGGATGCTCACCAGCTGTAGGGCCACTGTAGGGGATATATAGAATGAAAGAAGCAGGTGACCGCATACAATCCAGACAAAATGGGCATTGCAAACAGTTCCAAGGAAAATGCCACCTGCCACATCTGCCATGGTCAAAAGTCAGGTAGCCTCAAGGCTCAAGCTTCCTCGAAGCGAGGTGGGAGGGGTGGCGTGGCGCCTCACCAATTGAGCCATGGAGTTAACTTCTGGGCCATTCTTCCAAATGATGAAGTACCTCACTCTGTCGCCTGTTGCGAGCCCATGCCATTACCGAGTGACTTGCATCTTGACTGACTTCGAAGTTGTTTTGATGAGCGCGTCCTGTGTCTTCTTGGCTTGCCGTGTGGATTCTCGCCACAGCTTGGTTCGGGACCAATTTAGGTCACTTTGGTTGACACGCAGAAGGTGCCCTCACGATGTGACAGACAGGTACTTGATGGTCACCATGGACCAGTCGTCGTGTGCTGTTGAAGGTTGCAAATCCGTGTTTTGTCTTCAGGCATTTGTCTTTGCTGACCTGCTGGATGTGTCCTCTGATGGAGAGGGTGTGATGCCGACCCCAGAATGTCGCACAGGTCGCGACGATGGATTGCACCAGGTCATTGCACTTTTCTGCAGTGGTTTCTCGGGGTGGAGCCATGCTTCGAGATTCTTGCCAGGGTTGGAGTTTCCCATCTTCACTTGTCCTGCCTTGGATGTTGACCATGAACGCGTGTTGGCTTTCCACATGTTTGGTGGCACCTTGATGGCTCCTGGCTCTTACAGAACAAAGAAAATCCGCCAAAGACGCTCAAGAGTGAAAACGGTAGAGAAGAGATGAACTCATGACAGGTAATGTGTTCCCAGTTTGACTTGTGGCTTGACCCAACATGTGGTGCCCGTTGTCGTCCTTACGGCGTGTTTTGCTTGTGTCATCTTGACGTGGCCCTGAGACCAATGAAAATTTCCCAAATTTGAGGTTGCTTGGCTTGTCGTTGACCTCCTTGCTTACCACGGTTTTTTTGCAGAGTGCTTGCCTTGGCCGTGTGTCAACCGCTTGCAGTTATGCTTGACTTGATCCGTGTTGTACAGTTTCATGGTTCACCCTCTCTTTTCATTCTCGGACTACCCTTCTGACACCTCGTACCCCCCTTAACGGGGAAGGGGCGTTGGTGCTGCGACTTCGCTCGCGCAGGATTCCGTCAAAAGTCAGGTGATATGTATATATATATATACATACATACATGCATACATACATACCCAGCTATTGGGGGCTGGTCATCAATCCATCAATAGGGCTTCATATACCCAGTATGTTTGGATTTCCATGACGGGACGTATGATCATACCCCATTCATCATATGTGACCATGTCGCACACACATGGTTTGGTGAATAAAGACCTTGGATCATCTCGTGTTGAGGTGAGGAACCTCTGAGGGTGCCAACAACGCCCATATATGGCTTTGTTTGAATTGTTTGAATATAGGGTACCTCCCAAAATTGATGTTATCATGATTACTTCCCAATTCAAAAAGGCAACTTTTCAAACGTTCCCATTTTCAGACACACCCCCAATCTGTACAGGAAATTGATGACTTAGCAGCTCTCATTGCCACAATCGACCACATTATTGGCGCCTGCTTCGCGGGTATTTGGGTGATCAGCAATGCCACGATCCTGACACTTTTCAATAGAATGTACGAGAATTGGAAGGACGGCGGGGGGACGCGAGCTAGAGATAGTCAGTGGAGAGAGAGATTGAAAGTTGGAGAGTTTATATAAAGGGAGCGGAAAAAAAACATCAATATATTTTTTACATTATTATGGACTGTTGGAGCATACTGGAAGGCAATGCTTGTTTGGAGGAATCTACACAACATTACATTGTTTGTTGTGAGGTGAGCAAACCTGATCAACATGAAAGTTGACGAAACCTGCACGTGATGTGCACAGCTAGTGCAGCTAGTGCAGCTAGTACTTCGCTCCCAGCCCCCAGTGGCAAGGTGGTCCAAACGGGGGCCGTGTGGGGCCATCGCGTCGTAGGCGGTCTACGACTCGAACAAAGAGCCCTTTGCTCCGATGCAGGAATGCATCACCTGCCGAGGAAGGTGGCTCTGCAAACAGGCCACCATCAAGTCACTGGAGGCAGGTACCCTGTGGCTTAGAAACTGACGTTTCTGTCAGGGGGAAAACCTCCCAAAAATGATGTATTTTCACGTAATTTTATACTATACACACATATATATATACACACACACTTACTATACACTTTTTAATGGAGAATGATGATCATCTATAAAGAATGACTAAAAATTGGTGGATGCTCTATTACAGACACACCTTCGTCTTTGAAACAAATGGGTGGTGGACTGGTGGACTTTTATTGTTTGCTAGAACCTCATATATTTTTAGCACTTCGGAAGTCCATCAGTTGATGGGTACAGATGGGTAAAAATGTCAAAGAACTTCGGATCTGTATCCGGTCACTGCTCCAAGTACGTAGAAAATTCATGCCCCCGTTGAAAAAAAGGATTCTTTGTGGTTTATAAAAACGGTTGGCTTATGGTCTATTGGGTTTGGCTTATATAAACTTATATAAGCTTACTTAGGGTTTATTTAGGGGTTGTTTGGGTTGGGTTTAGGTTTGGGTCACGGTTCAGCGGTCGTTTCTCCGCGCACAGAACGACAAGAAGCTCTGGCGTTGCCCCTTCTGCAATGAGAATCGAAGCGGTCGCTTTCGACAGCATTACTACACACCACAATGCAAGGCGGTCCATGGTTTGGTTGGGAGCACCGGGAGGGGCCCCTCGATAATCAAGGCAAGTTGGTTTATAGCTAGGTTAAGTAGGATTTAAGACAAGATTATCGTTGATATATCTATAGTTCGATGGGTACAGTGCATAAATCAACTTGCGACTGGGAGCCCCTCAAAAAAGCAGGGTCCGAAATCTTTATTTACATATGTATAATGATGTGTATATATATAAAATTATATAACTATAATATACATATACATATATATATATATATCTCTATATATATATGTGATATAATTGCAATTTAAAATGGAGATGTACTTTCCCTATCTTTTCAGGAGGCCACTTAAACTTGGATACATTGACATAGAACCGCTAAGTTGGTTACAGGAGATTCAACCTGGCCAGTCATTTCCAGCTAGCTAACCGGGAGGACAGTGAACTATGCGAGCCAAGGGCCGAATAAGTTTGTTCTATTTTCATATATGCACCAGAAAAATCGCTCGCATTTTCGTAGAGCAGGACAGTAAAAGTCGCTTTGGCTGTAGTTAAAGTGATCCTTTTATTCTAGGACTAGGAGTTCACATCAATACCCTTGAGACTATACTAATCCCCAAAGGATCACTTTAGAATAAGACAACTCTTGAATTTAGGTCGCTGCCAGACCATCACCGTTCTTTAAACTGTGACTACCCGATGAATGTTCGGCCCGTGCTCGCAGGGCTTCGACAAGCCCTTGGTGCCCCGGTTGGACAGAAAAAAGTTTGAGGATGAAATGCAGAGGCCGAAGGAGATGAACCAAGGCGAACCAAACCACGCAGAGGAGTTTCCTGGTGACTTTTGAGAGGGGTGAAAGTTGAAGGGTGTCATGCTTAGATTTCTAAGCATCCCCAAAAGGGTAAGCAGATGGTTGTCGTGGGTTCAGGTTTAAACTCACCCACTCTTTTTCTCCTTTCCATCCGTGGGTCCAGGATGAACTGGGATGAAATGAGAACATGGTCTCAATTGAGGTTCATATTGTTGGGTTGGAGTTGACCACTTGTTATTTTAAAGGGTGGGCAAAGACCTTTGTTGTGGTTGTCAAACGCAGGGATTTTTGTGAAACTGTTGGGTTACCTGCACCTACTCCCAAATCACTCTGTAATGAACATCTGCACTTACATAGATTTGTATATATACCAGTAGTACCGCACAAGGCAGTGGCGGAAGTTTCAGAATAGGAAACCTATAGGAGAGCACTGATGGACTGAAAGGTGGTTGGAGTTGTGTTTTTTGGAGTGGTTACAATGGTTGCAGTGGTCACCTGGTCGACCACCTCACCCACAACTGCTGGATGTAGTGTGGTGTAGTGCAGCTGTAGTTGTAGTTGTAGTGTAGTCGAGTTGTAGTTGTGGTGTAGTGTAATTAGTGTAGTGTAGTTGCAGTTGCAATTGTGGTGGTGTAATGGCTCTAGCGTAATGTAATGTAGGGTCGTGTAGTGTAGTGTAGTGTAATTGACTGTAGTGTAGCCTAGTGTAGTTTAGTGTAGTGTAGGTGTAGTGTAGTGTAGTTGCAGTTGTAGGTGTAGTTAGTGTAGCGTAGTGTAGTGTAGCATAGCGTAGCGTAGTGTAGTGTAGTGAAGAGTAGTGTAATTGAGTGTAGTGTAGTGAAGGTAGTGAAGTGAAGTGAAGTCGAGTGGAGTGTAGTGTAATTAGCGTAGTGTAGTGTAACGTAGTTGTATTTTTCGAAGGAAGTTTAGAAGTCAAACTTCCGACAATATGGACAGATGGAAAAGCAGAGGTGGGAAGAGTCAGAGAGGAGAAGAGCAGAAGAGAGAAGAAAGAAGATCCAGGTGCGCGAAAAGGTAGGAAAGCCGCGAAACACTGTTTTTTTTTCAATGTTTTGTTGCTCCGGGGGGTCGAAAAGTAGGCTCGCTAAAGCGGCAAGTGCTGAGCCTTTTGGCCACATGAGAGATGAAAAGTTACACGCTGTTGTGGCGCGAAGCACTTTTCGAAGACAAAATGTTGAAAACACCTCAGCTTCGGAGCACTTTTAGAAGTTGAGACGTTGAAAAAGTGCACGCGGTTGTGGCGCGAAGCACATTTCCAAGTCAAAATGTACAGAACACACCATTCTCGGACCACTTTTGGAAGTTGAGATGTCGAAAAAGTGCACGCCGTTGTGGCGCGAAGCACATTTCGAAGTAAAAACGTACAAAGCACACCATTCTCGGACCACTGTTGGAAGTTGGCAGGCGCAAGGGATTTTGTGCACCTTGCCAAAAGTGAGCAAAACGCGAGGGTTTTGTAGCAGTTTCAATTAAAACCACCACTACACGACACTACAGTCCACTCCACTACAGTACACTACACTACACTCCGCTACGCTACACTACAACTACAACTACAGATACAACTACACCACACTACACCTACAACTACAACTACACTACATTACACTACACCAAGCTGAACTGCACTTCACTACATTACACTCCACTCCACTTCACTTCACTACACTAAATTCACTGCACTATACTCAATTACATTACGTACGCTACACTGCACCTACAACACAACTACACGACATTACACTACACTACACTAATTACATTGCACTGATTACATTACACTACACTATACTAATTCCATTGCACTAACCTATGCTACACTACACTACACTACACACCACACTACACTACACTACACACCACACCACATCACACCACACGACACCACACCACACCACACCACACTACACCACACTACACTACACTACACAAACTACAGCTACAACTACAATTGCAACTACAAGTACACTACATTACGCTACACTACGCTACACTAATTGCACTACACTACATTCCACTTCACTTCACTTCACTACACTACAGTCAGTTACATTACACTACACTACACTACAACTACAACTACAACTACACTACACTACACTAATTCCATTACACTACACTAATTACATTACACTACGCTATGCTACACTACAATACAACTACAGCTACAACTACATTACACTATACGACGCTACACTAACTACATTACACGACACGACACTACGCTACACTCCGCTACACTACACTCCAGTTTCACTAAATTACACTACACTGCACAGCACTGCACTACACTACACTAACTACAACTACAACTGCAACTGCAACTACAACTACACTACATAACACTAAACTGCACTACACTACACTAAAATACACTAAACTACGCTAAACTACACTACACTACACTACATTACACTACACTAATCACACTACACCACACCACACCGCACGACACTAGCTACAACTACAGCTACAACTACGCTACTTCACACTACACTAGACTAGACTACACTACGACACTACCCTACATTACATTACACTACACTCATTACACAACCGCAAATGCAACTGCACCTGCGCTACACTAATTGCACTACACCACAACTACAACTCCTCTACACTACAACTACAACAACTACAACTACAGCTGCGCTACACCACGCTACATCCAGCAGTTGTGGGTGAGGTGACCGACCAGGTGACCACTGCAACCATTGTAACCATTCCAAAAAACATAACTACAACCACCTTTGCGTCCACGTGGATTCGCTCTGCATCTGTGATTCACAACAGCCAAGCTCTCCTACAGGTGTCCTATTTTTGAAACTTCCGCCACCGCCTTGTGCGGTACTACTGGTAGTTGTAGTTGTAATTGTAGTTACGTGTAGTGTAGTGTAATGTAATTAGTGTAGTGTAGTGTAATGTAATGTAGTGTAGTTGTAGTCGTAGTTGCAGTGTAGTGTAGTGTAATTATAATTGAGTGTAGTGTAGTGAATTTCTGAAGTGAAGCGGAGTGGAGCGGAGTGTAGTGTAGTGCAGTGTAGTGTAGTGTAATTAGTGTAGTGTAATGTAGTGTAGTTGTAGTTGTAGTTGTAGCTGTAGTGTAGTGTAGTAAAGTGTAGTGTAGCGGAGTGTAGTGTAGTGTGGTGTAGTGTAGTGTAGTGTAATGTATTTAGTGTGATGTAGTGTAGTGTTGTGTATTGTTATGTAGTGTAGTTGAAGTTGCAGTAGTTGTTGTAGTTCTAGTTCTAGTTCTAGTTGTACTTGTAGTTCGTGTAGTGTAGTGTAGTGTAGTGTAGTGGAGGGAGTGGAGTGGAATGGAGTGGAGTGGAGTGGAGTGTCATTCGTGGAGTGGAGTGGAGTGTAGTCTAATTAGTATAGCGTAGTGTAAGTGTAGGTGTAGCTGTAGCTGTAGTTGTAGTTGTGGTTAGTGTAGCGTAGTTGTAGTTGTAGTTAGTGTAGTGTAGTGTAGGCGTAGTTGTAGTTGTCGTTTTAGTTAGTGTAGTGCAGTGTAGTGTAGTGTGATTAGTGTAGTGTAGTGTAGTTCAGTTGTAGTTGTAGTTGTAGTTGTAGTCGTAGTCGTAGTCGTAGTTGTAGTGTAGTGGGGTGGAGTGTCGTGTAGTGGTGGTTGTACTTGAAACTGCTACAAAATCCTTTTTTGCCTACTTGTGGCTAGGTGCACAATCCCTTGCGCCTGCCAAGTTCCAACAGTGGTCTGGGAATGGTGTGTTTTGTACATTTTGGCTTGGAAATGTGCTTCGCGCCACAATGCCGTCCACTTTTTCGACATCTCAACTTCTAAAAGTGCTCCGAAGCTGAGGTCTTTTGTACATTTTGTCTCCGAAAAGTGCTTCGCGCCACAATAGCGTGTAACTTTTCATCTCTCATGTGGCCAAAAGGCTCAGCACTTGCCGCTTTAGCGAGCCTACTTTTTGACCCCCCGGAGCGACAAAACATTGAAAAACACACAGTGTTTCGCGGCTTTCCTACCTTTTCGCGCACCTGGATCTTCTTTCTTCTGACTTTCTCTGCTTTGATCTTCCTTCTTCTCTTTTGTTCTCTGACTCTTCCCATCTCTGCTTTTCATCTGTCCATGTTGTCAAAACTTTTACTTCTAAACTTCCTTCGGTCATTTACATTAACATTTTTTTATTTCAACGCGTCAAAATGGCAGACTGCCCCATGATGAGAATCCGCACCCGCAAAATGGCCTGACAATAAGTCCCTATCCGTGGTGTTGCCCTAAATATCAGTGGGCCCCAGAAACCCCAGACCAGTTAAGAGTTGTGGGGTGATCCTCCAAGTAGACTGTTGAGCAACTCCCAGGTTCAACAAAAGATTTTCTTCAGAGCCGGTGGTGGAATAAATCGCTCGTGAGCAGAGCTCACGATGCTGAGAGTGAAACTGGTGACCTTGACTTTTCGAGAAACTGGTTTTGCATCCAATTTGGGCACCAAAAATAGCTTGTGAAAGATATTAAGCTGGAAAATTCTACAAACAAATGCTACTGTAAACTCTGGCCGCCTGGCCTGGGCATCAAAATCCCGGTTCTACTGAGATCGGCCAAGACCAAAGAGTCGGGCTGATGGTCTCACTTATGGGGGGTCAATACGAACACCCAAATTTATGGTAGTTGATCCCAGCGTGGAAGGTTCAACTCTGGTGCCTGATGGTGCCTGTTTCTCTGGCCATCGGTGCATCAGGAAACTGCTCCAGCTGTGAAACTCTCAAGACGAGAGGTTTCACCGGTGATTCCAGTGGCACCCACTGGCCTAAAAATACACCTTGGGACGATGAGCAAGATGCCCATGGCCGAAACAGAACGACGTTTGGGGATGATCTATGCTGCCCATTTGTGGTGATTTTGGGGATGGTTTATATTGGGTTTACCACATGAAATCCCATTCAAACCTCCATTGATAACGGATTTTCATATCAAATTTCCTATGAAATCCTCATAAAATCCAATATTTTTGGTTCCCGGGGGATGAAGATCCAGCCCTCCCAAGACATTTTGCTGTGGTTCTAGCTGGACTCTGGGAAACCCAAATTCAGAAGGCCAAACTCAAGCCTTTTTGTGCTGAAAACATCATTGGTCTGTATGTATGTATGTATGTATGTTTGTATGTATGTATGTATGTATGTTTGTATGTATGTGTGTATGTATGTATGTATGTATGTATGTATGTATGTATGTATGTATGTATGTATGTATGTATGTATGTATGTATGTATGTATGTATGTATGTATGTATGTATGTATGTATGTATGTATGTATGTATGTATGTATGTATGTATGTATGTATGTATGTATGTATGTATGTATGTATGTATGTATGTATGTATGTATGTAATGTATGTAATGTATGTAATGTATGTAATGTATGTAATGTATGTAATGTATGTAATGTATGTAATGTATGTAATGTATGTAATGTATGTAATGTATGTAATGTATGTAATGTATGGTATGTATGTAATGTATGTAATGTATGTAATGTATGTAATGTATGTAATGTATGTAATGTATGTAATGTATGTAATGTATGTAATGTATGTAATGTATGTAATGTATGTAATGTATGTAATGTATGTAATGTATGTAATGTATGTAATGTATGTAATGTATGTAATGTATGTAATGTATGTAATGTATGTAATGTATGTAATGTATGTAATGTATGTAATGTATGTAATGTATGTAATGTATGTAATGTATGTAATGTATGTAATGTATGTAATGTATGTAATGTATGTAATGTATGTAATGTATGTATGTAATGTATGTAATGTATGTATGTATGTAATGTAATGTAATGTAATGCAATGTAATGTAATGTAATGTATGTATGTATGTATATATATAATATAATATAATATAATATAATATTACATTATATTATATTATATTTTTTTATATTATATTATATCATATTATATTATATTATATTGTATTAGATTACATTATATTATATTATGTTATGGTATGTTATATTATATTATATTATATTTTATTATTACATGCATACGCCATATATATATATACACTTTATATATATATATATATATGTAATGATTCTACTTTGGGCGCAGCAGCTTGGCAGCAACTTGCCCGGCTAGACATCTCCAAAAAGTAGATCCAAGAAACCAAAAAGTAGTGACCTTGCAACCTCACCATAGATGATGGTTCGTAAGGGGCAATTATCCCAAAATGGTCTTAGTTTCAGGTAAGTATCATAAACCTTGATGAATGTCAGTGCAATGTCAGTGCAATGTCATAAACCACCCATATATGGATTGATGTCTTATACCACCATGGTGACAAACGGGGGATGGTGGATCTGATTGCATGTACGGTTCCGCAAGTAGGGTACCCCACGGCAAGGTGGTCAAAACGTCGCGTCCAATGTGCAGCCACTGTGGCTTTCAAGAAACTAACAGCTTTCCTTAAGATGTGGGGAAATGAGAAACAGAAAGGGATTTCGACCTTGCAGAACACAGGACTTTGGTATTATATGGATTTATATGGTATTATAGTATATTATAGTATAGACATACTTGATTTATCCACAGAAAAATTGGATGGTGATGTTGATTTACGATGAATTTACTCATGTTTAGAGCACCGGTGCTACGGTGCTCATGTTGTGACTGCGATGGACATCGCCAAGTGGGCCGGGTGACTTTTGTGTGACGGTCGCATGGCCAAGGTGCACAATGAGTGTCTCAGCCTGTCTCGGTCGTTAGGTCCGGAGTATCGAGGCCCAGATATCGAGGGAAGGTGATGATTTTGACCCACATCATATCCGTGGTACAACCATAAAATAACAACCCCTCAAAGCTACATAGACATAGGATATATATACCCCCTGCCATCCTCTATTTGATGAAGTTTGAATACATCGTGAACGAATGGTTGGTGGGCTGCTGTTCATGGATCTCGTCGTAGCCCTTGTCAAATATCAGAGGGAAAATAAGCACTCTACTTGTTGAATTTTATATAAATGGAATCATTATTGACGAAGGGTTGCCGGGCTTCTGTTGCTGGACCCGATATGTCACCCCATGAAAAACCAGAGGGCCAAGAATAATTCTACGTCATTGACATTTGAAAGGAATCATCATTACCACAGGGTTAGCGGGCTACTGTTCATGAGCACAATATTACATAAAGTATTGGGTTGCACTTTTTACCTATTTTCACAGCAGCCGAGCCTCTGCGTGAGCAACCCAAAAGCAGAAATCCACCATGATGCTGTTCCAACCTCCAAAAGTGAGGCTTCCACTTGCCAATGTTTCCGAGAAGGCAAGTATCGGTGAGATACTGCAAAGCAAAAGCAGGTGCCTTTGGCTGCCTTCATGTCGCAGAATCCAGATGATTTTCCTCAAGAGAGATCTTGCATGGAGTGAGTGTTTTTTCTTTTCATGTTCTGTTGTACACTGTTTGGGGTCTCTCCACAATTGATTGTGTGACGTGATTGTTACCCCCATCAACCTGAAGGGTCGCATCCCCCCACAATCTTCGTTACATGCGGTATTGCTCCTAAGATTTCATGATTGTTCCCCCACAGGGCCGTATCCCCCCACAATCTTCTTTATAAATGATATTCCTCCTATGGTTCTGCGATTGAGGGCAGAATGGGGGAAAACAACTTGCTAGAGAATGAGTGACTGTGATCTCTTATTGAGTTTTAGAGGCAGAGACGACCCTAGTGCTCCTCAGTGTCTAGGGTGGTTGAAGCATCATCCCAAACCGCACTTGTTTTTCCAGCATTAGTGGCTTTATGTTTTAAAAGTTTCATGTTTCCCAATGAACATCTATGATATTTTCAGATGGTTTGAAACCAAGCTAGATCATATATCCGATATATGCATGTATGTATATATATACACACATGTTTTGGGCATAAACTTTTTTTTTCCCTTCCTCATGGGACAATTCAAGACCTGTACAGATCAGCTCACCAGTTGTCGCCCCAGGAGTGGCGTGAGCGATCTGAAAGGATCGAAGAGCCTTGGTCCGCCTCCGGGCTACGACAAGGATGGCATCATCCGAAAGTTCTGGAGCAACTGCAAGATCAAACATGGCAAATACGAGTGTTACTTGACATCAAACAGGGCCTGGGATCTGCTTGTTTTGGGTGTGTCTTGAAATGGGGTATGCTGCTATCGATTTTTTTGAAAGGGAACATGTTGACTTAACGGCCAATCAAAGGTGGCAAATGACTGTTTGAGACTGGGGTCGGCTTGAGCTTAAGCCGAAGCAATTGTTTGGATTCATGATGATTCAAACCAAGAGTTGTTTTGAACCTACTGGAACAAGTATATAGTTTCAAAATTAACCAACTTAAAACTGAGGAGGGACATTGATTGAACACATCCTTTGCAAAATTTCAGTGCTTAAAGCGGAGCAACCCTCGCCTACGTGTCAGCATTTTACCATGATCATATTAGATTTACCCTTTACACAAATCAACCAGCCATTTCCATCCCCGGCCCCTCCATCTTGTCACCAAAAAACCCCTCCAGGTGGGCAGGAAGTGAACTGCGAAAAGACCATCCCGGTGGCCCTAGATATCGCTCCACACGAACTGAAGGAAGTGAGTAATGAAAAGGAACAGTCCCTTGGCTCCGCTCTGGTTCCGCGGGCAACCCTGGGTCCCTGGGTTGGAGGTGATGATCGTCCTGTGATGTGGAAACAGACGTGGAAATATCATAGCCCCAGTCGTCACCATTGGTTTCAACACATTCGCATGATCTAGTTTTGGATGATGACTGGGGGGTACCCCTATTTCAGGAAACCCCTATATAATGAGAATATAGACTCCAGGGTACACTGACATAGATGTGGAAAAGCCATTGGAAAAGCCCTGGGAAAACGGTCTACTTTCATGATGGCTATCCACATCTATGTTTGTTTGCCCTTGGGCAATACACAATAGACAATGAGAATACGTAAATGACTATGTCATCTATTATATTCATACAATATTAAGAATGATAGTGTGATAATACAACCAAATGTCATTTACATTAGATCATTAAATGATATGATACATAATAATAATGAGAAGCATAGTAATAGTAGTATAATAATATAATGTGGTGCTCAGCTCCATGGCTGGAAAATCACCGCAAACTAAACCTCCATGGCTAGTTCTGGAATTGTCCATTTCCACTTTTGATCACCTTAAAGGGTAGTCCCTTTCAGAATCCACACCATCTCCTTTTTGACTCACCAGAAATGGTTGTGAAATCATCCCCCAGATGGCCATGATGGCCAGCCCAGTGGGACTTGTCTTCCGTCCAGCCTCGAGGTTTGAACTTGTCTTTATCATGAAGATGTACTGGCAGGCTGGGCCAAGCAATGAGGAAGATGTAAAAAAGTCCTTTGTTTTCGGCCATCAATATCTTGGGAACCAGCTTGACCACAAACAAAGGCATGTTTGGGCCCATAAGTAGATGGACTCAGGTTGATATGGTGAAGACATGTGCCAATATCAACAATGGTGTGGCGCATCAAATCACCACGAATCAATTGATATTTTCTGATTCGATGAGGGGTTTGATACCCAAGTTCCACTGTTATTTTATACATGCCGTGTTTTTTTTCTCTGTGGTACCTATTTATGAATATGTACAAGTTATATAAGGGATTTGGATCAGACACCCAAGTTCTACTGTTCTACTGAGGCCATTTAAGACATCCGAACCCATTGACTTTACATTCATGTATTCATTTTCCAGACTGATCCGATTTGGCTGCCCCCATTCCGACTTGGAAACTGCCAACTTTTTTGAGACCGGCTGACTCAATGGCCTTAAAAATGGGAGATGTCACATGATTCTGAGGGTTAGGTGTACCCAGTGTATCCCCCCATCAATAATCTTAAAACTTAAACCCAGTAAATACCCTTTGTTGTGGCTAAATCATTCAAATACACCATGGATTTTTTGCTGGTTCAAGTCATCCTTTCTATTCCTTAATCACCTAAAAAGTCTCCCGATTTTTTGATGATTCAAGGCCCCATTTCCTTCATTTCATCCCCGGAGCCGCGATGGAGCCCAGTCATCCAAGGATCCCAAGTTGCATAGCTTCAAGACGAAGATCACTCGACACAGGCCCAAAGATGACCCTATCGAAGCGGTGGACCCCTTGGAGGACCGGGGAAGGATAGTCATTTGAGTCATGGGTCGACCCCTTTTGGGTTTCATGGTAACAGGTTCAAAACATTCCGGCGACAAAAAAACGATTTATAGGGGGTTTTAAGGAAGCCCAGTATGGGCAAATTGAATTTTGAGTCATGTATGAGGATATAATTGACCGCATTTGATTAACATATATGCATTTATATGAATTTATAATGATATAAATGGGAACCTGATGCGATGTACGTATATATTATATATAATATTTATTATATAGAATATATAGATACATAGAGGATGGGGCCCCGGGGACGGGGGGAATGCCCAACTTTAATAGTTCATGTTTGAAGGGAGCTTTTTTCGTTTGCAAATCTACGGGATTTGCGAATGGCCCATGACGGATCCATGGTGCTGGTAGAAAAATGCTAACATGACTGGGGTATATTGATGGGATCCATGGCACACCATATATAGCAGCACCATGGATCCTATGGGTGGGATCATAAGCCAATGAGGATACAATTGGCCACGTGAATGACGATCGAATTAGATCATGGGGACAGAATGGGGATGTTTTTCAAACGCATGGGGATGGGATCATAGATGGATTTGTGGGAAAAAGGAAATAAGGGAATGTTTACCAACCATACTGGGCTACATAATGGGGATTAACTATAGTAGGATGTATGTGGTTATAACGGCATATGACCCATAACATGGATTGGATGTGTTTGTCTGATAATGGGGGGCTACTCCCAGAATTGCAGTTTTTTTTTTTGAATCTAGGGAAACAATGCGTTTTAAACCCATTGGTTTTAGGGTACTGCAGCTGATTTTCAGACACAGACACACGCACACAGATGTGGTGCATTTTATCCAAGGTAGCAAGACAAGTGAACATATGCAACCACCGAAAACTAACATAGCTCTGTTTTTTTCTTAAAGGTAAATCAACTATAAATGGACGGTTTTCCACAGTTTTGTGAAATTCCCGGTAAGTCGTACTTCGACGTGCTTTCCAAGCAATGGTGAGGGGTTCATGGCCATTTTATACATGGAAAATCGCCATTTATAAACGGGTTATCAGTCAGCACCGGGACCACTTGGGGGTCCAGCTTCCTGAGGAAAAGAGAGACGCACCGCTAAAGCGTTTTTCGCCAGAAAGGGATACAAAGGGACCCATCCCAGTACCCTCGGGAAATTTAACATCACTATGGAACATCACCATTTATAGTGAATATTCCCATGAAACATGGTGATTTTCCATAGTTATGTGACAGTTTACCAGAGGGTACCTAGTCTCAGATGAGCATTTAAGCGCACACCTCCAGAAATGAACAAAAGATGTCACCATGGTCTCCTCTGAAAAGCACCATTTAGACTCAGACCCATGGAATTTTTGGTCCATGCGATCCTGAGGAGGTGAAGGGCATCGTGCGGCGGAAGTACAGAAATGGAGATCTCCTCTTTATTGAGCAGGAGGGCCACTTGCCCATAGCGGCAGGGGGTAAGTTTGTTGGCATACATAGTTTTGTAGAATAACGGTATTCGGATATGGAACCAACGCCTAAGATTATCTTGCCAGCTATTCGTTGATGATAGCGGATAGATTTTGGGTCAGGGTCATAATCAGGCTGCCCATGTTGATGGGATGATTGCAACTGCAAAGAAGCACCCCCTAGTCCCGTTGGCCGTAAATCGGGACCCGGCCTACATGTCTATAACTCCGCAGAAGCTGAACACTTGTAATGAGACGCCATGCTGGCATTGAGACTATGGCCATGGGCCATGGGCATGTCTTTGGTGAACTGGCGGCCGCCCTTTACCAGGACTGGGGAAAACATGGGAAAACTTGCTATCAATTTAGAGCACATAGATACGTACCTATAAGAATTGGGATGCCCAAACTGAAATATGATGTAACAAATCTATTGCATTCTCAGGGATCCCCAATAGTGGGACCCTCATTCCATACGCCTCCCATACCACTCTGACAAGAACCACCCAGTGGTATGGAATGTGAGGTACTTAGAACGGGTTTGTTTGGAGGGCATTGCAGTTGAGTGGGAAGATAGATACATAGAATTACTGTATATCGATCTATTTAAACTTTAGGTTCGCAAGGATGAGTGGTGCAAGAATCATATGAATTATACACGAAGAATTACTAACATTTATGAACACAATCCAAGCATTTTGGTTCTAAGTAGTCTGTTTTTGTTTATCATTATTTGTTCTGAGAAGCATGTTTTAACCAAAGGCGTTTTGTTCTAAGTACCAGCTACTTAGACCAGTTCGAAGTAGTCTTCATGTATTTTGGAAAACAAGGCGTTCCGTCCCAACAGTTTTTGACTATAGTCTTCCCGCTATTTGGCAGGGTCTACCCTCTGGAATTCAAACATGGCAATGAAATCCCCTATTTAGTTCGATGACTTTCCCAGCGAACTAAACCTCCATTTCGTTTTGGGCTTTCGCCGTGCGAGCGGAGCTGTGAGGTGAGAGGTACAAGCCGGCAGTGATTCTTCGGAGGTCTGAATATGTCTTCATGGAGGAGAGATTTGAGGGGCAAAGGTTATAAGGGTTGCTTCACCCCAAATGGCGCCATGTCCAACCATGGGGTTTAGCGGACCCCCGAAATGGATCGAAATGGTAACTAAAAAATTCGGGAAGATGAATGAAAACAATGCTGAGGTTTTAGGGTACCCTGTGCTCAGACAAACCCAAATTGGTGAACTAGAAAAGCACAGATTTCCCGGCAACTGTGTGCATTTGACGAAGAGAACAGGGGTTATATAACCGAGTGGTGAATGGTTGGAGCCCATCGTGAATAAAGTATGCCATCTTTGGTGGTGATTCTTTTTTTTGGGGGGTTGTAGGATTCTTTTCCCGTTTTTTTTTGGGTAGAGTTTTCCGGAGATGTGGTCAGGGGAAGTTTAAGATAGGAACATACAATGGAGGATTTGGTGGCTTAATTACTTAGAAACATGTGGACATTTACCTCTATCTTCTGGAACTCAGCATTTTTTCGTGCAATTAAGCCCTATCTAATCCATTCTTGTGCTTCTTGTGCAACCCTGGTTCGAATCACTCAACATGTTTTTGAGCCCTCAGCAGCCTCAGCCAAATACTTTTGGGGGCCCCCATGGGCCCGCTAACTACATATTTCCAGGTACGCTCTCGCTTAATTGTTTTTGAACCCTTTCTCAAACCCTTTCTGGAACCAGCCCCTTTGAGCTGGAAGCTGGAACACACTTTTGGAATTGAAAAAACTCAAGGTGGTTTAAATGGCGAATTTCTTTATTAAACCCAATACTGTAGAATATGATGCAAAAATCAATCGCGTAAAGGGGGTAGTCCTGAAGCCACTGAACATCTAAATAGTAACGAATGCTTTTATTCCGTTAAGAACGTATTTTGATCTCGAGGGTCTTAACTTTGGTGGTTCAATTTGTGGGGCAAGACTAAATGAAAGCAAGTTGAACCTATATGTGTATTCGGTTTGGAAAGGGCAACTTGGCAAGGTTGCAAAATGACACTTGTGTGTACTCGTTTTCAATCAGGCAATTTGTTCGGCAAGACTTTTTTTTATGTGTCGGTATTACTTAATTTTCCGGGCTTGCTTTAAAAGGGAGGCAGGGGTTCATTAATCCCAGGTCAGCATTAAATGTTTAGTGTTGGCGATCCATAATTCACTGTCACCTTTCAATTTCAGAGGTGGACCTCCATGCTTAGGTGCCTATATTTCTTTTTTGAAGTGTTTGGACAGCTGCAGAAAAGGTCCAATACTGTAGCAACTATCGGCCGGCCATGAAAGAATATGGTGACCTGTCCGTTGATTGGCTAACATACCCTTGAAGGTGGATTTGAACAGGATGTTTTTCCAATTGAACATCGCAAACGTTCGGTTGTATGTTCAATTTGGGGGTGTACGATGCCAGCTGCCAAAATCATCCAACGTCAAAAGCCGAGTAGTTCTGTGATTGCCCGATTCATGGGGCCCACGAGTCAGGAGCCGGACTGGAAGATTTATTTCTTTCCGACCTACACCTTTTTGAACCTCGTGAGAACGGAAGCTCAGACGGAGGAGCCCATGATGAACCTGCTGTGGTGCGACGAGGAGCTTCTGCAGGTGTTTAGTGCAGTGGCAACATGGGGCTTAGCCAAAAATTAACTGAACTCTACTCCCCATTTTTTTTTGGAAAAGATCAATAGATTAAATCGGCCGAGAAAAAATGACGTGAAAAAAAACATATTCCGAGGGATTTGGGTTCCCCCATTTGCAGACAGATCCTAATATGAATGCCACATCAAGTTCAGTTGCACTGCTTATTGAGATGTCACCGTTACTTGAAAGATCGTGCGTGATGAGTGGCTAGCTTTACATGGGAAGTCTGGGATCCTAGTTTCCGTAGGCTGTTGAAGTTCCAGAAAAAAAATGCTAAAGGTAATTATATCAGTAACTGATAGTTAGTAACCCCTTATATATTGATTGTAAAAAGTCATACAACAGTTGTGGCCAGAGTTTCCAAGGGGAAGATAGCCAGGATGATAGCCACTGATGACTCGATCTGCACCCCTAAGCAAGCACAAGAAAGAGGGTAAAACTACCATGGTTTCATGTACAATGTCCCCTAAACCAACCCAATGACAATTACAAGGGGTGGTAGTAGCTAAATCAAACCTCAGTTCAGGGCATGCCAAATTGTTGCGCCCTCATAGCAACCTTACCGCAAACAACGATCGGGTAGCTTCAAAAACCCTAGTTACCCTAGTTGGTTGACAGTTACAGGGAGTTATGCTACCCAACATACTGGGGATTCTCATAATCCATGAGCTGAAAAAAAACCGGTAATCCCAATGAACCAACCATTCCGCAATGCGGCCAGTGACACTGCTTACGAAAGGGCTGATTAGAAAAGGACATCATCCCCAGTCTAATTTACCCTTGGCTCATCAGACAGAGCAGCCAGTGATTTGATTGCTGGAGATAATCTCAGTGACCTAATCATGCATTATCTCTGATTCCTGATTCATGCTGATTCAGTATCCATGTTTGTGATTACCAGAGGGTATCCAAAGAGATTTCTGCGAGACTCAGAGACATGGGGCTACCCAAGGTTGTTTGCACCAGTGAATTTACTATACCATGATTTACCTACCAGCCCTTGTAATTGTCATTTATTGGAGCCCAATGGAATTCACTTTCACAAGCGCAGTACATCCTCACAGGAGAAAGGTGGTTTCGTGGAGTTCCGCCGGCGCTACGACGCGGTGTTTCAGGCGCTACGCCAATCTGTGAGATCAGAAGTTCCCTAGTAATTGAGTGTTTGTACCAAACAGACACAGACGTGTGTGTATATATATATATATACATGTATATATACACACACTTATATGTATATACGTATATATATATATATTATATGTATACGTAAGGGTATATATATGTATATACGTATAAGTATATATATACGTATAAGTATATATATATACGTATAAGCAAAAAAAATGTATGTATGTACGAACAAGTATATATATATGTGTAAGTATAAGTATAACTATATATAAATATATATATGTAAGTATATATATATATGTGTATACGTATATATATATATGTATGTATATATATATATACACGTACGCACGTACGTACGTACATACATGTATTATGGATTATTACGGTACAATGTATGTAGCTGGATTGTCTAGAACCATGGTTGTTAATGGCAACCAGGAAAGACATGTGCAACTATTGGTCTAGATGTACATGGGCCATGGGGCCTCATCCTAAAAAATCCTAGACTCAAAATCATGTTCCAAAAATCAAATAGGGAGCCAAGGAGCTGCTACAAGTTGATGGTTAAATCCAGTTTTTTTGAATATTTAAGTGCTAATTTTGATGGTTAAATTTTCATTTGTGATAACAAATTCTGCTGAGAAAATGCCAAGTTGTATCTCTGAACGCATCTAGCATCGGAACGTCACGTTCCACGCATTTTGTTGGGACAAAACCCCAGGCGTTAGAAAATCATGAAGTTGTATATGAAACGATGTTTCAGTTCACCTTTAGGGTTGGACATTCCATTTTTCATACCGTTGACAACCACAATTGAGGTTGTTTTCTTTTAATGACCTTCTCAACATTATCTTGACACCAACCCAGCTTTTCTTCCGATACAGTAATACGTTTGCACAGTGAATAAGAAGTTAATTGGATTTTATTGGACACAAGAATGCAAGATTAGTTGGATAAATTTGCACAATCTCTTTGGATACAATAACTATCCAATCCCCCAATATGAACACCCCCCAGTCACCACGGTTTAGTAGGGGATGGGTCCCACATATTTGGGACCATAGAATGGAGGCGTTTCATGTTTATATACAAATATATATTTATATAAACGGGGGCAGGAATTCTACTTGCAAACATTGATCTAAAAATCCCCCAATTGTTACAGTACCATTATATACAATTATACATATACATATATGTACACGTACGTATATGTATATATACATATACATAGTCCCATTTAATGCCGATTGTGATACCACTACTCTTTTGATTCTCCAATCCCTATCCGACCTGTAGGAATCGCTGGAGCTGAAGATGTTCCCATTGGACCGGCAAATCTGTAGGTGGGGAGCGTCAATTGGTGGATTTGAATGGTGGCTTGATGGAGTATTGAATGGGAATCTATGGGATTTTTTTTTCGGATATGATATGAGTCGTGTTATAATTAATATACGTATAATTAGATATTCATGGAATATTCATGGGATATTTAGCCAACAATACATGGACATACAATTCTAGATCCATGTAGCCGCGGAAAATTGTATAAATCATTGGATAATACTTGGAAGGAATAGAAGCTACAGATTTAAATCTGATCGGTTTTGGGTTAAATATGGACCAGGATGGACCAGGTGATTATCAAGGTCATGGGTTTTGACCAGCAAAAATGTAGAGATATAATTGATAAATGACGGTTGGAGTGTTGGCTAGTGGGCCATTAGCACATGGTAATTATTATAGGAATGTTTGGAGTCTACAATAGGACCAATAGGAATACCTACCAGGTGCTGGGAAGGAAGTTTCAAGAACATCTAGTGGCCATTTCAGAAATCAATGGCCCAAAGGAATGTCTGTGAAATGCAAAAGCAATGAAAGATGGGCCCGTTGATCTTCTAATGACATGGGTGTGGATCAATACCTATTAATACCATTTTTAGTGGGATGAACATCCATAAATCCCAGCTATTTTGGGGTTCACCAGGGGTACCAGGGTTTTGATCCATCCCCACATGTCATGAACGAATGAAGAAATGAATCAATGAACCAACGGACCCATTGAGTGAGTGAATGCATGAAATTGACTAAAATGAAATGACAGGACATGACATGCAATGCAATGAAATGAAATGAATTAATGAAACGGAAAAAAACACATGAAATGAATGAATGAATGACTGAATGAAATGAATGATATAATGAATGAAATAATGAATGAAATGAAATGAAACGGAATGAAATGAAATGAAATGACATGAAATCAAATGAAATGAATGAATGAACGAATGAATGAATGAATGTTTGTTTGCATGAATGCATACATGAATGAATTGGAATGAATTGGAATGAACCGAACTGCACTGGTTTGAAATGAGATGAAATGAACGAAGGAGCGAGGGAATCTTCACTGAGCCACGTCTTGGCTGAGCGACCTCTTCGCTGAGGTACCTCTTTTCTCAGCTACTTCTTCTCTGACCCGCTCCCCCTCTCTCAGTCACCTCTTCTCTAAGCCACTCTATCTCCTGTAACTGAATAAATACTTTGCTTCGCGCTGCCATTACTGGGCGTTTTGCAACCTCCGGCTGCAACCCAGCAAAGCACAAGAGTAGCAACATGCTCAAAACTGCCTTTTCCCGCTTCTACAATGCGTTCAGCAACCTCCAGCTGCAATCCTGCGTAGCAAGAGATTGATGCCTTTACAGCTCAGCCGTGCCAGTGCGTTTTTGTTATTTCCAGTTGCAATCCATCTCCTGCCTGCGCCAGCGTGCACAGTGTGGACTTTTCCGCACCAGTCTGATCCCCTCATTGTCATCTTCTAAAAGTGGCCCGAACACCGCAGTTTTTTAATCATATTGAACGGCGAATCGAGCTCTTGCTACAGTCTGGTGCGCTTTGGGTCGACAGCTTTCCCAGATCGAAGCACGAGCGGAAACACAGACCCTACTTCTAGCGAGTTCGGAATGATTTGCGCGCTTCCGTGGCTTCACCCGCAAATTCACCGGCTCCTGGACTGTTACGGTCATCTATCTATATATCTGGGTAAATTATAACGACCTCACTACGACCTCACTGGAAATCATGGTTAGTAAGGGAAATCATCCCCAAATGGCCTTAATTCAGGTTAGTGAAATATTATAATTTACCCAGATATATTGTATCTAATGATGTGGCTGATATGATGATGCGGTTGACATGATGCTGTGACTAACCATGACCATTCGCCCGCAACTCCGAGTTTTGAACATCAATGGGCGACGGGGTTGGACTCGTTAAATAGGAAAATCAACAAGACGCCCCCAACAGGTGATGGAACAAAAACAAGGTCTCTTTTAGGTTTATCTCAATTCACCCCCATTACCGATGAACTATGAACTAAAACCATTGGCACCAAAGACATGGATTCCAAAATGACCAATTTGGGGGCCCATGGGTGCCCAATTTTTGGTTCATACGCTTACTAAAATCTGAGGATTTTATTGGAAGATGTCTCGTTTTTTTTGGTTGAGGTCTTTGTCGGTTCCAATTTGGGCATATTTTGGCCATGAAACACGATTCTGCCTCCCTTGCCATGTCCAGACACAGTGCTATTTTAATCGTCTTTGTCAGTCAGAGAAATCTCTTGTTGGTGGTTGAACCATCCCCAGAATTGATTATATGAGATGCGGTCAAAATAAGCGTAGACTACTTTAGTAAGGGAGGGTCCAGTTGTGTTCAGAAAGTGCACCAAACCATGTAAAGCGATAGGGGCCCCCCAAAAAAGCGATAACTGTAACCATATGAGAGTGCATTAAACTTGCTGTAAACCAAGCAAATATTGTTGTGTGCCTTCACGCGATGTGCAAAATTGATGAAGAAAATTCAACCTGCAGTGCCAACGTTTCTTGCAGGTGCCATACCATTTGTTGTCCAAGGTGATTGAACCGTTGCTTTCTGCAGGCAGTTGTTTTTTTTCTCCCAGGTCCCAAAGCCTAAAGCAGTAGAAGAAAGCTCAACTAAATGCAACCAAATTCTGAATTAAATTAAAACATAGTTTTAAAATGTTTTAAATCTGACTCTGAATTCAGTTTATGTGCTTTACTTTAGTTTGAATTTCGTATTCCCTTGTTTCCTTTTCTTTGTTTTTCCTTCCATTTTCTTCCTATTTCCTTTGGAATTCTGAAGTAAATCAAAATTGATTTTGAATCCAGTTCTGCATTTCATCTATTTTATTGTACTTCCCTTTTGTTTGATTTGTCCTTTCTTCTTCCTTGGTTTCCTTTTCTCGTTCTTTCCTTCTTTTTTCCTTTTACTTTTTCAATTGTCCTTTTTGTTCCGCGTTCCTTTTTCTTTTCCTTTCTTGATCATAAATTAGGTGTTCTAATTTAGCGATAACCTTAGCGATAACCAAGCGATAACCTTTTGTTGAAAAAGGAACCCCGGACGAGGGATAGACTCATTTGATCCCAACAAGAAGAACTCAACAAAAAAGCGAACAGGTTCTCAACCCTAGGCCATCAGGTTGTTTTGAAACTTGGGAAGCCTTAAGCACTTCTTCATAGCTACGAACGCTTCTGTATTGGAACTATGAGGTCCCATCTTCAATTTCTAGAGCTTTTGAGCAGGGAAGTGTGGCGTTTTCTGATGCCATGGCTTATCAAAAAGGGACAATTGCGATTGCGAGGTGACCCTTTTTTGTTTTCAGAGAATTGGTGATCTTATAACCGTTGGGAACCATTGAAAGAGTCTAGGAATGTGCTTAGATAGCTCCCCAACATGGTTGCAAACGCAAAGACAACGAGCGCACCTTAATCCATTCCCAGCAGTTTAGAGATCTGAATCCGTGAAGCCAATTCCGCGGCATTTTTGAATTATTTAATGTTGATTTGAACAAAACACTGTAAAGCGATAGGGCCCCCAAAAAAAGCGATAACCTATATTTTCGTACCATCAACAATTGATTATTTGACGGCGGATCATATAATTCATTAATTACATTAATTACTCTACAAGCTTGTAAAAGGGAATCCCCATTGCTAGCTCTCCTTAGTCCTTGTTGGATCGTGGGGGGTTTTAAACACTTCCGACAGGATCAGAATCACTGCAGAGAAGGAAATCCAAGATTTCCAGTTGCTGGACGGAGCTGGCGAGCCTGGATGGTGCTTTTTGCGGGGGATCCGAAAACAGGCAGATTAGAGATTTCCAACCGAGAGACTACACAGCTACCCGAGATGTCTGAGTTTTTTTTGAAGTACTTGAGATGGTACCCAAAGGAAGCGTGGCTTGAATCTCGCATGAAAGTGGAGCATTGATGACACTTATGGAACCTACAATGGATCAATGCCATATAACGCCATAGAAAAATCATTCTTAATTGTAAATGGGGGACTTCCCATGGTTATGTTGGATTTGGGTCTGGGATGGGGTTAATTTCCAGCTACACTTGGCCTTTCAGCATGTTTGATAAGCATCGACCATTCCCTTCTGTGTTTGAATTTTGTCCATGGCCATTGCACTACATGTCAATTGTGACTTCATGAGTTTCAACGGCAACCATTTGATATGGGGGGTATATGGCCAAAATTGTAGGGGCCATGTCCCAACGTATGGGGTTATTTCACCATTGTTATTCCCATAAAAGTCAGCCTTTAACCCCACTCCCTATCCATTTTTTATATAACTATTTATGAAGCGTAAATCAAACATGTTCACCATTTTTTCAATTTTTCATGGGTCAACCTCAACCTCCTGTTTGCGACGGTTCAATCCAACATCTTCACCATATTTCATGGTTAAATCCCCAGCAAGGTTCGTGGGCATTGAAGGATGGAGAAACATCGCGACGGTCCATGAAGAGTGGCAGGTGGAGGACGCTGGTAGAGAAGTTGGAGAGTTTTTTTGCCCAATCCAAGGAGATTTCTATGGAGTTTTGATGGGATATACTGTAGATCTACACTACCCAAAAAGGTTCCCAAAAAGATCACTATTTTACAAGCTTTTATATACTGAACTTCTATCTTTCTGGGGGGTTGCCAAAATTTGAGATCATGACTTTCTTTCTGCTAACTTGTGTGGGTAAATCTTGGTAAATGGTGATGTTTCACCCTCAAAAATAGAGAACCAACTGAAGAATAAAAATGGGTTTGTCTGAAATTGCCACAGTCACATTCATGGTCATTCAAAGAAACAGGAACATGGGGTTTTAAACCATGGGATGCTTTATTGATGGAAACATGGTTGTACAAGCTCTGGCTAAATGATGACTGAGTAGAGATGGTTAAAGATGATGAAGGCATTGTATAAAAATCATACACAGAATTGACTGGACTGATCGTACCCATACAGATCGAGATGGTTTATCCTGGTTTCGGGGCTTCAGGACTTATTTGCCACATTTTACCACGTAAACTCAGACATCAGCTAACTTAGCCCGGGATCAACAGACCGCCAAGATAGAACTCGGGATGATACAACGAAAATATAACCGGATTTTGATAACGTTATAACATGGATGGTTGATAAAAATCGTTAAGCACAATGAAAGTGGCATCGAAAAGCCTTCCATTCCCAGGATAAGATGTTCAGCCCGTGCACCACCTACGTCCGCTATGCAGATGAGAAGTGCGAACACAGGTGGAATGGGATGATTTTGCCAGTGAAGATGGTGATTGTTCCCCAATGAAACCGAGAGGGAATTTCACCAATCCCAAAGAATGGAATTGGATTGCTAAGAAACGGTGAATATATTTATATATGTATATATACACATAAATATGAATAATAATATAATATATATATATATAATATATACATATATATATATGTATATGCCAAGGTATCTCATGAGTCGGTAAGAGAGATGACTGACTCAGCTTCTCGGGTCAAGCGCGTGAGCTTTCAGGTTTTGGATCTCGCGCGTGAGGTCCCTGGGGTGCCATAGCCTTCGGTGCATTGATCCTCTTTCTGACTGGCTGCTGCTGCGGTGTGTTGGTGATTCTGGCATTCACTTCGTCCATTTGCCGGTCTGGGCTTTTGCTTATTGTTGCTCGGCTCGTGGTCCAGCAACTGTCCCCACCTGGCGCATCTGTTCGGGATCGCTTGGCAGAATACCAGGGCCGACATCATTGGGGCAACTTTGCTCCACTGAGATCCAAGACGTTGCCTTGGCCCCTTTTGAACATCTTTTTGCGCTTGCGTGTCTCCGTCACCCACCATCCTGGAACAGAGGGTTCATCATTCAGCGCGCTGTGAAGATCCTGCGGCTAGCGCGCGTGCATTTCGAGCCGGCGACAATGTAACGACATCTTCATACCATCCTTTTATCGACCCCGTGGTCAGGTCTGCGTCGTTTTGTTTCTGTTGGTGAAGGCTCCACGGGAGCTTGCACCGAAACTGCATTTGCCATTCCTTTCCTTCACAGATCGAAGGAAACTTGCTTACCTGGGGGCAGACGGCCATGGCCGCGCAGGTGCGGCGTCCAATTGGGCGCAGGGAAGTTTAGCTGCGCAATATGGTTGGATCTTGCCGACGACCCAGAGCAGGCCGGCTTCCAGCTGCTGGGGGTGTGTTACTTTGCCATGGTGCGAGGAGGGGGCTTCATGCTAGTACTTCTCGGTTTGGAGGTTTTCCGCATGGCTGCGGGGTCTTTGCCAGCCGGAGCTGCTTTCCATTCTGGTCAGGTCCAATGGGCCAATGGGTTTCTACGAGGCCGAGACCTTGGCCTCGGCGATGCGCTGCTGGTAGATCTTCCCTGGGATGTGGTTGGCAGCTTTTACGAGCCAGCTGCATTGCGAGGTGCTGCTGCTCGAAAGTACAGGGTGGTGCAATACAAACATGGGAGCGCGGTTGGCAAACCTACTGCCAGCAGCGTATTAGATTTGTCCAATGCTTGGATCGGTGGAGATCTAGATCCGGTCACTGCAGAAGACTATGCTACTGGTGTCGAGCAACTTGAAGAAGAGCCCGATGCAGGTGCCATGGCTGCAGAAGGTTCAGATATGATTGCTCAGCTTCAGCAGAGGATTCTAGACCTCGAAGCAGCTGCTGCCGCCCAGCCCATGGACACATGCCAAAGCCTGAGTCAAATAGATTTGTGGATGAAAAGTTCCGACAGCGCTGTCGTCACAAGCCTGAGTCAAATAAATTTGTGGATGAGACGTTCCAACAGCACAGTCATGCCAGCGGAGATGTTTTTGCCACGCCGGCCAATGCGCATTGGTGTGATGGACCTAGTGCTTCGAACGCGCAGAGGGCAGCTTCGACCTGGGAGGCAAAGCGAGATGCCAAGGTATCTCATGAGGCGGTAAGAGAGAGAACTGACTCAGCTTCTCAGGCCCGCAACCACCCAGCCCATGGACACATGCCAAAGCCTGAGTCAAATAGATTTGTGGATGAAAAGTTCCGACAGCGCTGTCGTCACAAGCCTGAGTCAAATAAATTTGTGGATGAGACGTTCCAACAGCACAGTCATGCCAGCGGAGATGTTTTTGCCACGCCGGCCAATGCGCATTGGTGTGATGGACCTAGTGCTTCGAACGCGCAGAGGGCAGCTTCGACCTGGGAGGCAAAGCGAGATGCCAAGGTATCTCATGAGGCGGTAAGAGAGAGAACTGACTCAGCTTCTCAGGCCCGCAACCACCCAGCCCATGGACACATGCCAAAGCCTGAGTTAAATAGATTTGTGGATGAAAAGTTCCGACAGCGCTGTCGTCACAAGCCTGAGTCAAATAAATTTGTGGATGAGACGTTCCAACAGCACAGTCATGCCAGCGGAGATGTTTTTGCCACGCCGGCCAATGCGCATTGGTGTGATGGACCTAGTGCTTCGAACGCGCAGAGGGCAGCTTCGACCTGGGAGGCAAAGCGAGATGCCAAGGTATCTCATGAGGCGGTAAGAGAGAGAACTGACTCAGCTTCTCAGGCCCGCAACCACCCAGCCCATGGACACATGCCAAAGCCTGAGTCAAATAGATTTGTGGATGAAAAGTTCCGACAGCGCTGTCGTCACAAGCCTGAGTCAAATAAATTTGTGGATGAGACGTTCCAACAGCACAGTCATGCCAGCGGAGATGTTTTTGCCACGCCGGCCAATGCGCATTGGTGTGATGGACCTAGTGCTTCGAACGCGCAGAGGGCAGCTTCGACCTGGGAGGCAAAGCGAGATGCCAAGGTATCTCATGAGGCGGTAAGAGAGAGAACTGACTCAGCTTCTCAGGCCCGCAACCACCCAGCCCATGGACACATGCCAAAGCCTGAGTCAAATAGATTTGTGGATGAAAAGTTCCGACAGCGCTGTCGTCACAAGCCTGAGTCAAATAAATTTGTGGATGAGACGTTCCAACAGCACAGTCATGCCAGCGGAGATGTTTTTGCCACGCCGGCCAATGCGCATTGGTGTGATGGACCTAGTGCTTCGAACGCGCAGAGGGCAGCTTCGACCTGGGAGGCAAAGCGAGATGCCAAGGTATCTCATGAGGCGATAAGAGAGAGAACTGACTCAGCTTCTCAGGCCCGCAACCACCCAGCCCATGGACACATGCCAAAGCCTGAGTCAAATAGATTTGTGGATGAAAAGTTCCGACAGCGCTGTCGTCACAAGCCTGAGTCAAATAAATTTGTGGATGAGACGTTCCAACAGCACAGTCATGCCAGCGGAGATGTTTTTGCCACGCCGGCCAATGCGCATTGGTGTGATGGACCTAGTGCTTCGAACGCGCAGAGGGCAGCTTCGACCTGGGAGGCCAAGCGAGATGCCAAGGTATCTCATGAGGCGGTAAGAGAGAGAACTGACTCAGCTTCTCAGGCCCGCAACCACCCAGCCCATGGACACATGCCAAAGCCTGAGTCAAATAGATTTGTGGATGAAAAGTTCCGACAGCGCTGTCGTCACAAGCCTGAGTCAAATAAATTTGTGGATGAGACGTTCCGACAGCACAGTCATGCCAGTGGAGATGTTTTTGCCACGCCGGTCAATGCGCATTGGTGTGATGGAGGTTTAGTGCTTCGAACACACAGAGGGCAGCTTCGATCTGGGAGGCAAAGCGAGATGCCAAGGTATCTCATGAGGCGGTAAGAGAGAGAACTGACTCAGCTTCTCAGGCCCGCAACCACCCAGCCCATGGACACATGCCAAAGCCTGAGTCAAATAGATTTGTGGATGAAAAGTTCCGACAGCGCTGTCGTCACAAGCCTGAGTCAAATAAATTTGTGGATGAGACGTTCCGACAGCACAGTCATGCCAGTGGAGATGTTTTTGCCACGCCGGTCAATGCGCATTGGTGTGATGGAGGTTTAGTGCTTCGAACACACAGAGGGCAGCTTCGATCTGGGAGGCAAAGCGAGATGCCAAGGTATCTCATGAGGCGGTAAGAGAGATGACTGACTCAGCTTCTCAGGCCCGCAACCGCCCAGCCCATGGACACACGGAAAAGCATGAGTCAATAGATTTGTGGATGAAAAGTTCCGACAGCGCTGTCGTCACAAGCCTGAGTCAAATAATTTTGTGGATGAGACGTTCCGACAGCACAGTCATGCCAGTGGAGATGTTTTTGCCACGCCGGCCAATGCGCAATGGTGTGATGGACCTAGTGCTTTGAACGCGCAGAGGGCAGCTTCGACCTGAGAGGCAAAGCGAGATGTGTGTATATATATATATATACATACACATACCCCGATTTGATCTCATTTGTGCCTATTCAAGGGCTCGGGTTTGATTCAAAATAGAATCCAATCTACCAAATCCTGTGGTTGCAGACCTCTCTCCGGATCACGTCTCGTCCCCATTGTTTGATGGCCATACGAGCCAATTCCACACCTTTGGACAAACCCAAAATCATACAGTTGGTGAGTTATATCCCCAATCATATCTCCATTATATCCCCATTAATCACCCATTGAATCCCCATGAAACCTCCCAAATTGGATCTATAGATAGACAGATAGATAGATAGATAGATTGAATGATTGATAGATTGATAGATTGATAGATTGATAGATTAGATAGATAGATAGATAGATAGATAGATTGATAGATTGATTGAATGATTGATAGATTGATTGATAGATAGATAGATAGATTGAATGATTGATAGATTGATAGATTGATAGATTGATAGATTGATAGATAGATAGATAGGTAGGTAGATAGATAGATAGATAGATGGATAGATAGATAGATAGATAGGATAGATAGATAGATAGGATAGGATAGGATAGGATAGGATAGGATAGGATAGATAGATAGATAGATAATATGATAGAATATCTTTTATACTTAGTTACTAAATACTAAGATAATATAGTTTCCATCCTATTCATTTCAAAAAAACGTTCCATGAACCCCAATCAAATCCCAATGTCTAAATCCCCATTTGAGCAACTTCAAAGACCTCCAAGAAAGAAAGTTGGGGATGAAACTACGTTCGCTCCAAGGAAAACATCAGACATGTATAAGAGAATCCACGTTAGGATTTTCGCCACCGCTCATAACTGGGATTCCAGATGAATCCCGTTCGTTAGAAGCAGGTCTCAGCGATCCTTGGCGAAGACTGTGCTCCATCTGCAACGCAAAGGTGCCTGAGCGAGAGGTAGGGATTGAACGTGGTCAAAACGAAGCCACCATCCCACATTGTGTTGTTTTTTTGAGTATATAAACGTATCCCAAGATGGGAATGAACTTTGCGTAAAGTACCTGGTGGATTGAACTTTACTGTTAGCAGGGGAGCAACAAATTACCAAGCTTTAGCCCCACTACATCCCCATTATATCCATGAGAATCAAGATGTGTCCCATTACTACCAGTAGCTTAGATTCGTAGAGAGTAGTATACGCAGGCGATTGTAGGGGATCATGCTACTTGGTTTATTGAAGATTATGATAGCTACAAGGAAACCTATTTATTAACCAACCAGTATCATAGAATGACAGGTTTTGAACACTGCTGCGATGATTTATGTATATATTGAAACCCACGGATAAATTTTACTTTGCTAACTGAGGTCATGCAATATATCCTGACTCCGCTGATTAAAGCCAAAGTGTATACTCTACTAATGTCCTCAAACATATCCCATCAATGTTGAGTAATGCCAATACATATCAAATATATATATATATATGTATACCTTAACATGCACATCACGTTAATACCAATTGATATATACATTTGTATCCCATTCATAGCCACCAATTTTCCATTTGTTGGATCCCATGATATGGTGAAAACATAGGTTGTTTTCCCATTATCGGGGGACGGGAATAACCAATCGATTAAGTTTGCGATGCATACATGTAATATATATATATATACCTATTGTTTTGATTCGACCGTAAACCATACACCATCATATACCATCTTTGGACCATGGCCCAGGTGACTACAAATGTTCACAATATATCCCGTCAATATTGATCCATCCCATTTGCGTAAACATATCACATATATATATATATAATATATATATATATACATGCCATTATCCATAAATATCCACAATCTCCCACTACTTTTGGTTATCATACACACATATCTCTTATCTCTTATCAATACCCATTGATTTACACACTAATGTCAAATATCCCATTAATTGCCACCAACTTCCTATTTATTTCATCCCCACTCTATCAATAAAATCCCTGTATATGATGTCTATGTATGTAATCATATACATATACATTATTATTGTTATTATTATTATAGATCTCATTATCGTCTCCACCAATATACAATTTTCTTGATTTATCCGATATATATATATATATGTATATGTATGTATATGTATATACCAGGATGTACAAACGGGTCTCAAGTAGGCACCCCTTAAGGGGGGTAACCATTAGGCACCCCTTAATTTTTAAGGTTCCAAACTAGTCACGAGTTTTTTTTGAGAAATCAAGAAAACATGCGTGTCATTGCGTGTCACTGCCGTGTCGTGTCGGTCGGTAGGGGGTGTCCAATAAGCACCCCTTAGGCAAACGGGTGTCTAATAAGCACCCCTTAGAAACGTGTCGGGTGCTTTTTGAACAACCCCTGCGCGTGTCATTTCGTGTCGATTTTGACTAGTGTTCTTGAAATTTGGGAACATTTTACACCCGACGCGAAAAGAAACGCATGCATTTCTTCTCGCCAAAAATGAAGTCGGGTGCACCACAGATGCCACGCGGGTGGGATTGGAAGATTTTGGGACTCATCATTTTCTGGTGTGCCATCTCCATGAACGCTAAGGGGTGTCCATTAGGCACCCCTTAAGAATCTCAAGTCTTGAAATTCATTAGGCACCCCTTTGAACGTGCTGGTATGTATATATGTATATATGTAAATCTGTATATATGTATATCTGTATATATGTATATCTGTATATCTGTATATATGTATATACGTATATATGTATATATGTATATTTGTATATTTGTATATTTGTATATATGTATATATGTAAATATGTATATTTGTATAAATGTATATATGTATATATGTATATATGTATATATGTATATATGTATATATGTATATATGTATATATGTATATATGTATATATGTATATTTGTATATTTGTATATTTGTATATATGTATATTTGTATACATGTATATGTATATATATATGCATATATATATATACATCCACATGTTGATGTGCTAGTATATAGAATATTATATACATATCCCAGTATATAATATGAACACATATCCCATTTATTGGGCTCCCAGGTGACTACTATTTCCACAACGTTTTGATCAACATCTTCCTTGTGAACGTCATCGCCCTCTCCGCCTTCGCTGTGGGAATTGGGGACATCGGCGATCGGCTGAGCCTGTTGAGTACCACGTTGGTGGCGGTCACGGCCTATCAGACGGTGATTAATGAGAACATCCCGTCTCTCAGCAATGGAACTTTCGTTTTTTTTTCATGGTTCTGTATGGATGTTTATGTGTATTTTTGTCGATTGTGTAAGTTTTTTGTTGATTCAATACACGGGAATGATTTTACATGGATGTTTGTTGATTTTACATGGGATTGTATGGATTTATGTGGCTCAACTCAGAACATATATATATATATATATAGTGTATGTGGCGGTCAATGACCAAACACGGGGTTTAACTGGGCACACCATCCAAAAACGGGTGCAAACAATAATTGCGATTTCACATCAAAATATCAGGAAACCGACAGTAGTAGGTGTTAATTTCTTAACTTGTTTGCAACATTTGACAAGGAACAAACCTGCTCAAATGTTCTTGGGTTTTACAGGGTAAATGGAAAACTGAGAGTCTGCCACGGAGACATGGGGTTTCAAATGATAAAAACGAGACTCTGCCATATTTGTGGCGTCATCAAAAACATGTATGTGATAGTGGGAATTTTGTGGGGTGATGCATGGGGTGATGCATGTTTTTTTTGCTATTTTACAAACATAAGATGCAGGTTTGATCAACTGAATTTGATGAACTGAACCACTGCCAGAAAGAAAAATTGGATTTCACAGGGCCAGACAGAGCATTTCACAGACCCTTTTTTTTCCCCGGGACAAACGGGAAATTCAACCAACAAAGACATGTTTTCAGGATTACTCTATGGCACTGATATGGGAACTATCCATGGCAAAAACGGAGGTCCCATGGTTTTTTTGTTCCAAATTCCAGTGACATTCCACCACGGATCTGGGTTTGTCTGAAAATAGGGTACCCCCAAATTTCATTGTTTACCCTCTGGTAAACTAACATAACTATGGAAAATCACCAATTTTCATGGGTAAATCCACGATAAATGGTGATTTTCAATAGCTATGTTAAATTACCAGAGGGTATCATGATTTTCCTTTAAAAGTGGCAATTTTGGTGCTATACACCCATTGCCAGACACACTTTTTTCGCGTGAGGCGAAAGACTTATCTGACGGTTTGTGACAAGTACATCATCTTTGCCGTCGTCTACCAGGCGAGGAAAGGGGAGACGGGAATGGTGACGGTGGTGCGTCATGAGTATCTTGCGAGACCACAAAGTATACAGTAGGTAACCATACCAATATAAACTACTGTAGGTATCCTGTGTGGTATCCAGTAGGTACGAAATGGGGAGTTTACAGGATACCTACAGTAGGTAACCATATCCTGCAAACTCCCCATTTCTTGGTTGCTTTCGGAACCCGAAATGAGGTGCTCATGGCGGTCGAGACGGTGGCTCTGAGCTTGATATCGCACGTGTTGAGCTGGTACACGGGCGAGGAGGATGATGAAATGGGTCTGGCAGTGAATAAAGGCGTTGATGAGCTGTGTGTAGCAGTTTGAAGAAACCTATATAGTTGATTGGGTATTTGATGGGAATTGTCTCGTGATTAATACTGTAGGGGTTTAAATATAATTCTTAATCATCAAACATGCGGGGATATAATCCGGACATTATGGTTGGTTGAAGATTCTGGGGGCTGTAAGGGCTAGATGGGCTCATACTACCCTTTACATATAGCGGAATTTGCGGATTCTCAGACAGACTCCACAGGCTTCACTCCAGGGGGTTCATATCAATTTCTTGGAAACTCTGTGATTGTAGTAGTTGTTCTGTTCAGGGTTCATTGTGGTCTTTGTTCACCATTGTTCACCTACATATACCTGGTTTGTTGCTGGTTGAACTGACCAATGGCATCAATGGCCACCCTCAACCAAGCAGTATCAAAAATGGCAGATCCAGGGCTAGCTGGGTAAAGCTTGGCTGGTGAAGGGTACTGTAAACCAACTGTTGTGAATGCTTGGTGAAAAGAAGAAACACGTGGCCCCCTTGTATAACCGCCTCACATTATCCCCGCCTCGCATTACCGCAACATCACATTATCACCACGTCACGTGATCACATTATCACCACCTACAGCATGACATTATCACCACCTCATATTATCACATCTCCACATTCGCATAACCGGAGATTATTCATCACTTCACAGTGTGAAATCTCTACAGAGTAGCGTGGAGTAGAGCAGCGCAGACCAGATTAGAGTAGGAAGAGAAGAGTTGAGTTGAGTAGTGTAGAGTGGAGTAGAGGAGGGGAGAGGAGAGCAGAGAAGAGGAGAGGAGAGGAGAGTAGTGCAGAGAAGAGTAGAGCAGAGTAGAGTAGAGTAGAGGATCGGAATTGCTGCGTCATTGTTATTTCTTGCGACTCGATTTTGTGATGTTTTGCAACTCACAGTTGGTAGATCGCAGAGGAACTGCTGCATTTAAATGTTACACATTGTGCGGTGCATTGGAACTGAGGCCTGAAGATCCCGAAATGGCCATTCCAGGAACCGATTGATTGGAGGTACCTACCATATATGTTTGCGGGAATATCCCCCCAACATATGGCCTTATATGGTACAGTACTAGTACCTCCATTTTAGGATCCTGAAATTCCCATTGATTCAAGCTGTAATATGCTGCTTTGCAGCTGCCGAGCTGCACAAAGTGCATGGGAACTGCTGCATCCAGGCTGTTTTTTTGTGCTGCGGTGGCGTGCGTTGAAAACTGCAGCATTTTGCAATCCATATGATCCCACTGGAGTGGCTGCATCCACATTTCTTGGTTCTTAAGAGTTGAGAAGATTTGCGAAGAGCTCAGAGGAGGTCAGAAAGAGTTGAGAAGAGTTGAGAAGAGTTGACAAGAGCCGAGAAGCGTTCAGCAGAGTGGGGAAGAGTGGAGAAGATTGGAGAAGAGGTGAAAAGAATTGAAAAAAGAGCCGATAAAAACTCGAAACATCACTGCAACTCCTACAAGCAAAACTTTTCCGTCAATAGGAGCACATCCTCCTACGGAAAACTTCCGCCACCCGCCTTGTGCTGGTTTTACTGATTTTCCTGGTACACCTCAAAAATCATCAATGTCTGGATCATTGGATGACCATAAATGTCTTGGCCACAGGAGCATGCGGAAATGATAGAGTGGATCACCCTCTACGACTGGATCATCGGGACAGTCTTCGTGGTGGGTTGGGTGCTGGGCCACGCGGCGATTCTGCTGATGCTGCGCAAGGAAGGCCTCGCTTCAGGAAGCTGGAAGGAGAGCTGGGGTGTGAGGGTGATGGGATGGTCCCGTATAGAAGTTACATATATATATATATTACATACATAGTTTTTAACCAATATATATCATATATATATATACAAATGAGTTCATATGGACAGTGTGACAGTCATCCTGCAAGCATCCTGATGTACTGGAGATAAATAGTGGACTTTCTAAAGGTATTCCCATGTTAGTAGGAACATTTTCAAATGCGCATGATCTATCTACTTCAGGATTGCACTGAATAAACAATGGAATGGGTTGCACTCAAATTGCGGAATCCCAATGGTACAATCCCAATGGTATGTATTATATTTACATGATGTATCCTCATATTCTTTCCAGTTCTGCAAGATTAGGGATCGTGGAGTGATGGAGGCCCACTTTGAAAATTCACCAAAAAACAGTCATCTTCCCATCCACTCGAGCATAGGTTCAGCTTAAGGCTTGTTGCCGTTTTGTAGGGATTCCTGTTTCCAGAAACTCCTTTTTTTGGTTGGAGAAGCCCAGAAAGCATCAGAAACACCAACAGAAAAGCACAACAGCTGCATTGCAGGAAGCCTATGAGGCCAACGAGGAACCCTATGCGCCAGTCTTCGAGTGCAGCACCTGTATCTTGGCTCCATGCTGAGATGAATCTGAACTGGTCACTGGATGATATATATATATATATGATCTATGTGCCATATTGTGCCATGGTTATTTTCACTATGGTTAGTTGATGTTGATGTTAGTTACCGCTAACACATGGGAAAATATAGGGATGATATATGTGCCATTACCGGGTAAACGCGGTTCTTCCCCGATTCCCTATTTCAATGATCATCACTGGGAAGGGGTCGCTTTGGAACGGTACGATTGGGTTCGCTCCGGAACGCTGGGATAGTGGTTGCTTTGGTGTAAAGTAATGTCGGAGGCCTATGTGAAGGGTTTTTCATCCTAATTTAAGCATCGAAGAAAAGATCTTATTGTATGATTTGGGGTTTCTTTGATATATATATATGTATATATATACACACTATAATTATGTATATAGACATGTGTTGACTTTGCAGATATTCATTTGGACATTCGTGGACATTTAATTAGAGACATGTTCTGACCTGTATTTTCAGTGAAACGTGGACAAAACCACGGACATATGGTTTGCTATATGCTATGTAGGTTGAACTTTGTTATGAGACGTGGTAAGACATGTATGAACAATATCTTGACACATGGTTTGACATGATTTTTGACATGTGTTGACAAGGACCCTGACATATATCCTGACAGAGGCTGTGACATACAGTTTGCCTTATGGTCCGACACGTGTTTTGACATATTTTCTGATTCTTTGATCATTTTGATGTGACATGTAGCATTGGTGAATAGCAGAGGCGTCAAAAGCTGTTTTCATTTGGTAGTATTGGCTTCGAGTGAGCTACTCCAGAAGCCCTCTACGGTATCGATAGCGGGTTTGCCCTGGGGGCACCATCCCATCCCATCCCATCCCATCCCATCCCAGCCAGCCCCCAGAATTGTGGCTGTTCCTGTTGACGACTCAAAATGCTGTGGTGTTTCAAAGTGACCCAAAATGCGGTGTTGCAAATTTGTCCCTGCGACCCTGGGGAAGCATTGTCACTTTAGATCGTTATTGGGTTTTTATGGGTTTTGTTTAGATCATTCTCCAGATTGGGTGTATTTTGGGGTGTATTTTGTGAAGTTTCAAGATTCCCAGAATTTGTTGAAGGGAAAATTCATCGTTGAACATTCGGGTTTAACATTTGATTGTTAACCCCGCATTTTGAGTGGTTAAATACATTTTCTTGCACATGCAGTTAGTTATATAAATTCCAATGTTTCCCCTTAAATTCCGCATTGCCATCTTTGGCCCAAACTTTGCCAGGTGGGAAGCGTTGGCTCTGTTCTCAAACACACCAACGCAAGGCGCTCCGGATGACCTTCGGAAGGGCCTTGGGGGGCGGAAATGGGGTGATAATGGGGGGGGTATTGCCAGAATTGTATGAAGGGGAAGTTCACAGGACTTCCCCAAGTGTTTGCGGCAAGACCCATGGTTTTCTCTAGATTCCAACTCAAACCAATCAAGTTCACATGCGCCCACAACTATGTAGGTGTAATTGCGTGGATTTTTTGTCGTTTTTGCCAGCAACTATAAGGATTTGACCAGCTATGGAGAGTAATCATACGGCGGATTAGAAAGTGGTTTTGCTAAGCCAAAGTGGCATTTTTGACTTTGCTAGTGGTGTGTGAGCTGTGCCCGTTCGCAATGGAACCTGTGTCACAATATGAACAATTGACTTCACATTTATCATATGCAGCACATACCAGAGTTTAACGGAGACACATTCCTGAAAAATAGGATGAAACCCAAAGAAACGGTTCCGAAGACGATTATTTATTTTCTACCGGATCTTCCAAGATATGACCATTATGACCATTTGAAATGGGTCTCCAAAAAGCAAATCCTGGTCTAAGATGGTCTAAGGCCTGATGGCATTGAGCATGGAAGCAATTGGGATTTGCTTTTTCGACGGTCTCCAAAAAGCAAAAAAGCAAATCCCAGTCCAGATGCATTTGCTTTTTCTATAGCCTCCAAATAGGAAACCCCAGTCCAGGCGGATTTATGTCTTTTCCAGGGTGTGGACAAAAATTAACCACTTGTAGGCAATTCACTAAGCCGGACATTAATTCTGAAATCTGGAGACCCTGACGTGGGCCCTGGGCTCAAACGCGGGAGAAAAGAACTTACAGATAATTTGCCAGGTGTGTCATTTGGGCCACCTGATAACATTGCACGGAACATCATCACAGGATGCAATCGGGCCAAGCAGCGCGAAGAATAAGTTGAAAATGGGAAGATGCATCCGGTTCGTAGCCGGTTCGTAGCCGGTTCGCGTTTTCGGTTCGCAGCCCGAACGGTTCGTTTTCCCACCGGTTCGGTTCGGTTCGTACATCTAAACGGTTTCGGTTCGGTTCCTATGTTTTTGGTTCGTTTCGCAGTTCGCGGTTTGGTTCCAGAACCACCCTGATTTTCTAGCATTTTCCAGATTTCAGGGGCATAGAAACTCTGATGGAGGCTCGTAGCGGTACTGACGTGCAAATCGTTCGTCATACGTGGGTATAGAGTTTTGGCCTTCCAGATCGATACCAACGTAGGTCAAAATTGAATGATTTTGAACCCCAACATGGGGGTGTTCCATACCTCTTTTGTCATGTCTCTAAGGCTACGATTGTTGGGTGTTGTATCTTTCTCAATATGACGCTCCGATTGCATGGGATGTTTAAGCCTCAATCCCCGGACTGAAAAAAACACTGGTTGATTTATTGATTTAGGGGTGACCACCAACATGTTATGAAACATATCCTTCTATCATGGTACCACACAATCAAACTAGTTGGTTGAGGTCAATATTCCTAATGTTCATGCGGAGTTGACATAAGAGGGTTGTCTCAACATTTGGACCCATTCTATCCCATGGTTTGTCATCATTTACCACATTCAAAGTGGCATTTTGGGGTAATATCCCATTTTGAGACAAACCCGTATGAGTTACAAACTTATAAGATGAACTGGTTTTATCCAAGTGCGGAGAATCATCTTCTAGATTCTAGACCCAATGCTTTCGGTTCCGTCCACTCCATTATAAGCCATTCTCTCCTGCAAATAACTGATGTACCTGGGGATATCCCTGAAATAAGGGGACAATTAACCTTGAATGGATTACGTTCACCACGGACTGCGCAACTTGATTCGGGACACGTAGCTCTTGTCTGTCAGGTGACAGAGCAAAACCTCATCTGGTGCGAGTGCAATGAGAATCGCCTGTCAAGGATCAAGAAGCGCTACTACACACCCGGCTGCAAGGCTTGGAAGATATGCAATTATATAATATTATATATAAGTTAAGACATATACATTAATGTATAAAGCATATACGTATATAATATATATATATAGAGGTAATGACGATTCAAATATGTATATATATATACACTATATAGACTATATATATAATATATATATATATATTATTGCTTTATGTGTAGATAGTTATTTGGCTGCTGGTTTTGAAACGTTCATATTTTCATCATTGCCTGGGGAAAGGATCCCAAACGAAAGGACTTGTGATTCTTAAGGGCTTGCGGCCCCAACAAGCCATGTCTATCTATTTACCCATCCATCTATTTATCTATCTGTGTCCGAGATATTTGTCTATCTGTCCAAAACCTATCCATCCATCAATCTATCTATCTCTATCCATCTCTATCCGTTTGTATATCTATATATTTCTATCTATCTCTACCTAACTCTCTCGATGCCTATCTATCTCTATCTATCTCTATTTATCTCCATTTCTTTCTATGTATCTCTATGTATCTCTATGTATCTCTATGTATCTCTATGTATCTCTATGTATCTCTTTTTGTCTCTATGTATCTCTTATGTATCTCTATGTATCTCTGTGTATCTCTATGTATCTCCATGTATCTCTATGTATCTCTATGTATCTCTACCTATCTATCTCTACCTGTATCTCTCTCTATCTCTATCTCTATCTCCAGCCCTATCTCTATCCATCAATCCATCCATCCGTCCATCTATTTATCTGTCTGTGTCTAACGTATCCATATGTCTTGTGTGTTTCCCATCTATTGTAACACTCAGTAAAAGGGTTCTTTAGTAAACGCACCTACCAAAAGAAGCACCATCGAATATGTCTATCATTTATCTGTCTATTCATCTATCTATCTATCTATCTATCTACCTGTCTATCAATATCTATCCTTTCTATCTATCTATATACCTTTATCCACCTCTATCTATCCCTACATATCTATCTCTATCTATCCCTATCTCTCCCTATCTCTCCCTATCTTTCCCTATCTATCTATATCTGTATCTATCTTCCTATCTTTCTGTCTATCAATCAATCAATCTATCTATCTATCTATCTTATTTATCTATCCTTCTTGCAGTTTCCCCTACAGAATGGGAGGACCTGGGTCCCATATAAAATGGAAAAACCCTAGGCTTTTATATGCAGGTTTGGTGCTGTACACCTGCATTTTGTAACCTGGTAGCTTTTACTGCTTTTAAGAGTTTCTGCAGGATCATTTTGTAGAGGTTTGCATGAACACGTAGATTGTGAAAGTGGTAAGTAGGGGAAAGCATTTTGTAGTGGAGAGATGTTTAGGGCATGTCGAGAAAACACGAGCCCCACATACTTGGGAACCTTTTTTGTAGGAAGGTCATTCTGTATGTAGAGGCATGAACAGGTAAATCCCAAGGCTTTCCTGGACACATCATTTTGTAGATGCCATATGTATCCATATGTAGTCGTAGATTCTCGACTATATGTACTTGGAAGCTGCATTTTGTAGCAGTACATTTTTGACTTGGAGTCAGCATATTGTAAACTTGGCAGTTGGGGACAGCCAGTTTATACCTATGAAATGCGGTCCCAACACCTCCAGGCTAATTATAAGGAGGATATTTATCTACCAATCCGTCTATCTATCGATCCGATTCTAATCTAGCCCAATCTATTTTGACCTAATCCAATTTATTCTAACCGAATCCAATCCAATCTTATCTGTCTATCTATTCAATTCTGTTCTATCCTATCCTATTCTATTCTACTGTTTTCCATTCTATTGTTTTCTATTCTATTGTGTTCTATTTTAGTCTATGCAATGCTATTTATTCTATCCTATCTTATCTATTTCTCTCTCTCTCTCTCTATCGATCTCTATTGCGCTCTATCTATATCTCTTTATCTTTTTATCTCTATCTATCCTATCTATCCTATCTATCCTATCTACCCAATCTACCCTATCTACCCTATCTATCCTATCTACCCAATCTGTCCAAGCGATCCAATCAATCCAATCTATCAAACCTATACACGCTGTCCAATCGGTCCAATCGATCCTGTCGATCCTGTCGATTCTATCCATCCGCTCCATCCTATCCATCCCATCTATCCAATATGATATCCTATCTATCCTTTCTATCCTTTCCTATTCTATCCTATTCCTATCCAATTTATCCAATCTGTCTAACCTATCTCAACTATTTAATCTATTTGATATATGTCATCTATTTAATATATCCAATCCAGTCTCCCCAATCTTTCTAATCTATATATCTATCTAATATATCCACTTAATCTAACTTATCTAATCTTGTCAATCCTTCTTATATATTTAATATGTTTGTTTTATTGATTACACCAACGCATAATATAAATCGCTTGATATATTTGATCTACTTAATCTCTCCTATCTATCCTTTCTGTCCTTTCAATCCTGTCAATCAATCAACATGCCCTTCTGTCCCTGGCAGGGCTTCGAAAAGCCTGTGGTGCCTCAACAGAATCTTGATAAGTTGATGTGTGCTCCGCCGCATCTGCAGGTGGGGGACGAGCACCTTGGGCGGCCAAAAGTGGGAGATGATTAGGGACAAACAATTCACATCTGGTGTCAAAATTGTTGATGGTTGTGAGCACTGTTGAACAACTGTTTGTAATATTTAATGATAAATGATAATCCATAGCTTTAACTACAGCATACTACAGCAACCTACTGGCCGACATTGCCACTTACATTGTTCTGTTTGCCATATTACAGATGTCTGTGGGTTTCTCCTTTTTTTGACTAGGGGATTAAACCAACAGAATGGGGATCTAAGCAACAGAACATGAGGGAGTTCAACTGCAGTAAGTGGTATCTTGGTCGGATTGGGATTGTTCCTATCAGATCCTATCAGAAAGTGGGGATATAGCTCAAACATGCTTGAAATGAAGGGGATTTTTCACCAACAATCATAGGGTTTAAAGATGCTTTGCCAATGTTGTATAATTAGATGGGAGACGGTTTTATCCAGAAGCGGTAAAATCATATGAAATAATAAGCCCCCAATATATATATATATATAAATATATATACATATATATATATATATTATATATATATATGTATATATATATATATGTATGTATGTATGTATGTATGGCAACTTCACTGGGGGAATGATGAACAACCATGAGATGGGGTATCTTGTTCTCAGAGAAACTCGTGTGCGCAACCCAATGTTTGTTTTGATCAGCTATGATTTGGTCTATCATCACACTGAGTCGGTGGTGTTACCACCCGTTTAGCCGGTATTGTAGAATGTGATAGGTTACCCTCGTGATTGGGGTATTTCTATGTATTTCTAATACCCCTTTATAAACCCATGTACTTGTACAGGCTTGAGGCACACTGTCGATTACATCAACTATTCGTAACGGTGATGATGGTGAATCGTAAGAAAACGGCCCAATGCGATCGCCTTTTTTTAATTTTATTTTTCAACTTATATCTCATATTTCCTTTCAGAGTCTTCGTTCATCGCCCATGGTTTTTTGGTCCATTTTTGCGTGATTTAACCAAGTTGGAACTTGGGGCCATGGTGGGCGTTTTGGGTGGGGTTCGCTTTTGAGGCAACATGCAGATGACTTCAACCAGAAGTTCCAGCGGCCTGCGGCCAAAGCTGCTGCGGTTCGTGACAGCCATCCGCCTGAATTGCTGCAGTGATGAATTTGTTCTGGGTCGAAACAGGTACTGTACGAGTGTACATTTTTTTTTGAGTCACCATCCCCAGAAAATCGAAACTCAGTTCTTTATAGATGTGTAATTATATATACACACATATATAGTAAATTATAGTAATATATATATATATTTAATATTTATTACATGGATATAGAATCCCCAGTGAGATTCATGGATTTCAGAATATGGGTGGAGATACCAGAATTGATTTCAGGGAAGCTTCACTGAGATGACAGGACATTACTCCATTGGCAAGTGGAATTGGTAAGTGGAGTAGTTAGCAATACTAGAAATTGGTATTACATAGTTAGTTTTAATGGTATTTTTAATGCTTAAGGCTCAGTAATACTGGAGTTGACTCAGTTGACGTGCTCATAATTCCATTGGTAAGATTCGTCTATGGCTGAGGGACGGAGTTTTCGCTGAATGCCAGAATTGGTTTGAGGGAACATGTACTGACCTTAGCCCCATTTCCCCATGTCTGGCTTCTGAATACACGGTTTTCAGCTAGATGTTCCATGCAACAAAGATGTGAGGACAACCAAACGAACATGTGAAGGTAATATTGGATTTATTACAAGGAACACCATTAAACACCAGGATTTTCATGTAGAAGACAAGTAGCAAAGATTGCAATATCATTGAACTCATCATCCCAACCCCCTAGCATAAAATCCCATGCTTTAGTATTGCCTGGAAAGCTGGTAGCGACCCTCTGTTAATCTGAACTGGCGTCCTGGAAAATTCCGCAGTTTTTCATCCATGTCATACGATTTTTGAAGGTGATTTATGGGGTAGCTTCCAATTATACAATTACACATAATCAATTATATATACAGTATATATATATATGTGATCTTTTTTTTCATTATCTTGCCGGTTGTTTGCCAATATCGGCGATGGGGATTTTCCTGCCAGCTTTGTTTTTCCCCCTCCCCGAGGGCCGAGGGGTCGATCGAACTGGTGGTTTCAGCCAACACCTGCTAGACAGGTTTGGATGTATCCGTCAACCCAGTATTTAAGGGTTCTACATCCATTCTGTTTCCAATTAATTTTGTTGGTATTTTGAGTCACAACATCATGAATGGTTTCATGAGGTTTCCATATCCAATAAGGCTCCATGTGTATGGGTATTTGTATTGTACCCGATCCAGAATGTCTTTTTGTTTGTCCACTCCCATATGTTTGACGTTTTTCAGACTTACCGGGATCACGAAGAGTCATGGCTCTGACACCGACCAGCTGTGCTAGGGACCCTCAAAGAGGGTGTCCTCAGATTTATGGAGTCGCCTGGATTGAGCCAAAAAGTATAGTGCTCTGGAGGTTCCCAAAAATGTGTGTTTGTGAACATATGAGGTCCTCAAACCGATTGGAATATTTAGACCAATCAATGTTTAAGGCCTGAGATACCCCTTGGGTTTCGATTTCCCAAGATCAAGGGCACTCCCCCTGTTTGCATGTCAATTTACCAATACATTATAATTGATTAAAAAATGGGTAATCCTAGATTAGATTCAATTGATATATATATATATACATTCCATGATAAGTGCAAGTTTGCATCGAAAAAATGCCAATGGGTGGATCATGGAGAAGAACCGATTAAGGGCTACTGCAGATACCTTGCCAACGACTATCGTGAAGAACCTCGGCAAGTGAGAACATGCAAGAAGATAAAGACCTGGGAAGATTGAATCGGTGAGTGCCTGTGGGAGGCTGGACGTTCTCCCCCAAGCAGAGGATACAACTGGGAAGATTGCTGCACCGAATATTGTAAGTGGGTCCAGTACTGATATTTCCTGATGATTCCTGATGCACCGCGTGCAGAGTGGATTTGTTTAAGCGGACATTCAACGTTTTTTCCCATATTTCATGGGGGAAAAACGTTGCTTTCCATAGATTTTCCCTTGAACCAATCCATTGAACGAAATAACCAGTTTGACATGATGACCTAGACCTAGGTCCAGAGGGTCTCACCGCACATTCGGTGGAGTATCGATGAGTTTATCTCGGAGTTTCGAGAGATTTTTGGGACATTTGGAGTTGAAAAACTCATCTTTGGCTGGTGATAAACCCCACCATTTGATCCCATTCCCCGGTCGCCGGTCGTATGTTTCACACCCATTCTTAGAATGTCCTTTTTAACCATCTAAAACCAAGGTGTTTTTTTTCCTCCAGTAAACCATTGTGTTTGGGGGGTGCTTAGTTTTGGGGGGTGATTAATTACTCCACAGCTTTCAGCAGAGTGATCCAAGGCGGTTCGACTTCGCACACCACATGCCGGGCCGTTTTCCAACAAATGACAGGTTTTCACCGCGTCTCGGGGGAGGCCCCGTATCACTATGAAAGGTTACTGGGGAGGTTGGAAATCAAGTTGGTGCAAGATGATCAACTGCAAATGGTATCCTGAAATGTGGAACACTCATGAATCTTAAACAATCCCAAGCATGGCCATCTCTACCATCTGGTTATTTAACATAGCCATGGAAAATCCCAACCATAAATGGAGGTATCTAGCTGGGAAAATCATCTATTTCTATGGGCCATCTATACCATGGCTATGTTAGTCATAACCAGAGGGTAAGTATTTCAAGATGTCCATCCTGTTCCAAGCTATGACCGGGTAACGGACCGTTGGAGCGATTGAAATTCATCCCGTGGCTATGGCGGCCACGGAGTTTGTGGACTACTATGACTTGCCGCGACCTTAGTCTCCTGGGTCAAGCATTGCTATGGGAAGATCCACCAGCCACCAGCCCCAGCCATGTTTGGACAAACGGGTGTCATTCGCGTAGGTCCATAGGCTATTTCCATCTGGGCGTTGCACGTTGGTCTGGAATTGATAGGGTGTGCATGAATAGAAGTCAGGAGTCGTTTGTTTTGCATTCTCTGCCAGTGTTTGCGGTTCTCTCCCCAGCAAGAAATTTTGGTTTAAACAATACCATCCAGGAAGAATTGTTGGTAGCCCAGAGTTCACTGTTCACCAATTCTGAAACACATCCTGACTCATTCCCCCAAAATAAATTGGAGTGGGTGACACGGATCGACACCCCCATATATCATGGAAAGAATGAACCACGGTTTCCTCAGATTTTCCTGTCGATTTTCCTGTAGATTTTCCAATCCACTGATAGAAACCCCTCTGGAAAATGGATACCTTTTCCTGGCGCCAGGTTGGGCTGTGCCCCGGATTCCACGTTGGCGGAGCCTGGGATTTTTTATCCGAAGACCATTGAATGATTTGATGGGCGGTTTGATGGTTCACCCTACTCGGCAAGTGGATGATATAATGATCTAATGGTGATCTAATAAGATTTAACGGTGATCTAACGGGATTTGACGGGATTGAAAGCTGAACTAATGGGATATAAAATGGTGATCGGAAGCAAATTCTAAGTGCGTTGGCCCTACTGACACTATCTAAAGCTAGGTTCATAACCTACTGGAACCACGAAGTATTGAAACCGGGAACCCAGAAACGGAGCAATGATTTGACGCCTTAAAAGCATGGTTAATGGCTTTATCCCATAGTAATGACAGAAAAAAGGTAACATCAACTACTCGAAGTCTCCCAAAATCCTGGTTGAATAGGCTATAGGCTTGGTTTCATAGATGGGAACCCCCTATTCTTGTTGCTAGTAGAAACGAGAAATGAGGGAACACTTGGGAAAACTTGATTTGTTCCATGATGTTCCATGATACCTCCCATGTTGGATCGATTTGTTGGTTGGTGGTTTCTAATTGTTCACTTGCACTCACTTTCCAATAAAGTCAGGCAGGTAGCTCAGACACCAAGCAGTTCAGGTTTTCAACCTTTCCCCTTTACGGTGGTCATATCTGCATTTTGTTCAACTCCCGCTTTTGTGCTGGGCTTCCGAATGTCCCCCAGTTTCTACATTTTGATGGATTCACCGCCGCCATTGGGCTGTGTGTTCAACTTCTCCCCCAAAAATGGATGCTTTTATGTGCTTTTTCTTTACGTGTCATGCTCCAAACGATCTTACCCGGAGACACTCTGTACCACGAAAAAATCTTGCCCCAGCTATGGATCTACGGTTATCTACGGTGCTCTTCTGCTATTCTTTCCGTGAAAATTCTGGTCGCGCAGCTGCGCCAGGAGATCAAACAGGGCTACCACGAGAAGCTGCGCGAGTTTCATCCTGACAAGCGGCCCAACAGCCAGGAGGGCCGGGGCAAGAAGATCACCGCGCAGCTGAGACTCGGACGGAGAGGGTGGGGTAAAGCCATGGCTTTAGCCCTGGCGATAGGGGGCAGGTTTATGGCAGGTTTACCACATTTGTAAAGAAATCAATGATGAAGCAGTGGATTTTTGAGTACCTTGTTTTTGAGACACATCCAAATGGTGAGTTGCTGATGGTTATATAATACTCGGACCTTAGAATCTAATATATATACTGTATATATATATATTATAGTATGAATTATGTAATCCTCTTGCACACCGGATGATCATCCATAGCACATGGCTTTGAACCCCACCAGGTTCCCATCCAATGGGATTCCCTCAGTTTGATGCTGAGTAAGCCCCTCACATGTTTGAACAAACCGAAAAAAAAACACGATGCCCAAACATCCTTGGTAGTTGATGGTGAGTTGTTGTTTTCTCGTAGCAGTTTTAAGTTGGCCAATCCAATCCTAGAAATACCAGGTACTATATAGTCAGATAAATATACTGTATCCAGAATCAGATCCATATACAAATTATACAAGTATGATTGGATTGGTTTAAGGGAAAATCTACAGGAAACCATAGATTTTCCCATTAAATATGGGGCTTTCCTGTAAATTTTCCCTTAAACCAATCCAATGAAAGTAGCCTCAGTTCAGCTATAAGCCAACTTTCCCATCGGGGTCAAGGCTCCCTTTCCGGTCCCTCCGGGGCCCAGGAACGAAGCGTGGGAGATTCTGAAGGACGAGCGACGGCGCGAGGACTACGACCGTCAGTGGCTCAAGGCGCTGGAGCATCGATCAATGGGTAATGTCAACCCTGGATTAATAAACCCCTAGGTTGTTTAATTGGGAGGGTACCATGTAAGTATTAGATTATGACTATTGGAGGAATACCCCCTAATTAATAAACCATGGTTTATTAATCCGGGGTTGACATTACTGCTGGTTTAATCATGGCTGGTTTAAGACCTGAGAATCCATGGAATGCCCATGGTATGACTAGCATGTCTTAGCCCGAAATAGCCAAAAATGCCGGTGAAACACCAATCAAGAATGGGTATTTCATTGTGTTTCACCAGCGAAAGGGGGGACTTCAGCAGAAAACTGTGAAATTTAAGCAATGTGGACATAATATATATATATAGATGTAGTTGAGGGGCAACAAATGCAGTTTGGCAGCAGGGAGCAGTTGCATGTGAAGCGGACTTCATAAGAGGATGTTCATGCCGAAGTAGTCTGAATCTGAATAGATCTGAATAGTGATTTAACACGCACACATACGTTCAGCATCCTTCAACCACCACTCCAATATGGGGGCCTGCTTCAAATTTTGAGACCCGGGGACTCCCTGGGGCCCGCTGATGCTTGTTGCTGAAATGGCAAGATCATGTATCCATCTGTTAGGAGTCATAACTTGGCGGGCTTAGCTTCCGCAATCAAACATCGGGAGTAGTTACCAATCATACTTTAGGTTCAAAAAATCATGTTGTATCCCTTTTTTCTTGGTTCCAAAGTGGATTTCCATCAGCCGGGGTGTTACACCCCATTGGATTCAACATGATTCAGCTGGTTTTTCCTGGGAGAGTCCTCCCAGATCCGCAAGGCGCGCCCCCCCGCCTTCGATGCCGCCTTCCCCGCCATGCCGCGCCGGGGTCCGCCGACCACGGCGGACGAGTGCCGCCGCGTCGGCAACGATTTGTACCGCGCAGCGGCGGCCCTGGCGCAGAGCCACACGACGGATGTGGAGGGCATCACCTTTGGAGCTGAAGGTGGGATGGGGATGGAGTTGATAGGGAGATGAGTGGATGGATGGATGGATGGACAATATTTGATGTAAATGCTGTGTTTGACTTCTTAGTGAGGGTTTCGGAGAATGCGCAGGTACTGCAACTTGGCTAGACTTAATGTAGTGACAATGGAGATGTACTGTAACCTAAAGGAATTCTTACACCTTTTGGGTGTGAGATCTTAGTGTAGCAAAATTCGCTAGTGCAGCACCTCGCCAAGAATCGGGTATAGGTGTCCATCTTTCGGAGGCGAACTGGATGATTTTCCAAAATCACCTTGGTTTGATCTCCAATCTTTCATTAGCTCAGGGTCTCCCAGAACATTGGCCCAGATTCTTTCAAGTTGAAACACTGCCTCATGGTTGGTGACAGGTATGGACTGGGCCAAGCAAGTCATGGAAAAGTACCAAGCAGCCATTGACGTCTACACTAAAGGCACGGGGGGCAGACTGGCTTTGGAAATGGCAGGGACCATTCTGTCAGAGAGTTTTACCCTCTGGTAATTTAACATAGCTATTGAAAATCACCATTTTTAATGGGAAAATCCACTATAAATGGTCATTTTCAATAGCTATGTTAAATTACCAGAGGGTACATAAATTGTTTTAAAACAGGTTTTTCTGAAAGTAGTCCCCCCAAATTTGATGCTTGATTTCCCCCATTGAAATCAATTAAGTTGCCATTTCAGGGTATACCCCCATTCTCAGACAAACCCAAATGGCAATGACTATGATTAACCTCCTCAACTTACGTGGTGTAGAACAGTGAGCGTGAGCAAGTTGTTTGGTTGTTCGGTAGGCAAAGTGTTGAAACATTGCTGAGGGGATGGAATTGGACCTGTGGGTGTTGTGTCAGTTTCAGGCCTGGAGTGTGACTCTGTGATTGCTCTATGTGCTTCAAATTGCTCCAATCAACATTCTCCACCTGGCTCCCCAGTGTCTTTGCTTGTTTTTGTTATTTTTATTCGGAGGGCTATTTGTTTTTTTTTTTTCCGTTTTGGGCATTTTTTTTGGATTCTGTTTCCCTGCTTCTTTGCTTTTCTGCTTCTCTCCTTTCTGCTTTTCCCTGCTTCTCTGCTTTTGTAGTTCTTTGCTTCTCTGCTTCTCCACTTTTCTGCTTCTCTGCTTCTTTGCTTCTTCGCTTCTCTGCATCGAACATGAGGTTCGAACTCGAAAATGCTGCAAATACCCTTGAAACGGTAGCTTCCAGCTCCAAAATGTTACAAATTCCACCAAATTGTTGCAAAATCTATGGTTAATAACATGTTCCAACTCCAACATATTGCAAAGACAGAGTTGAAATGGCAGTTTCCAGCTCCAAAATGCTGCAAATACCACGGAAACCAGGCAGAAAAGCAGATCAAAAAAAAAGCCCCAAACGGGAAAAAATAATTCCCAAACAATTCCGGACCCTTTTTTATTCATCCCTTAGATCAACTCGTTACTGCAACACTTTTTCAACAATCTTTTTGAAACTACCCTTTGTAAACCTTCTACCATTCATACCTGAGACAAACATGTTAAATCCAACAATATGTTTAAGCCGGGTGTAAACCTAATCAGATCTATAAATAAATATAATCCATGATTTCAGACACTGATTAGGGATATTCGCGTTTATTCCATATTTCTACAATATTTCCAATGCATCATCCACATTTCTAACGCATCATCCATGTCTCTTATCTGACTGCAACTCGGACTGCAGAATTCTGCCGTTCGAAACAGGCCTTGGCTATGCAGCAGATGATCATCGACTGCTGAACAACCGAGCGTTGTGCTATGCAGCCCTAAAGATGTGGCCCAAATGCAAGGACGCGTGATGTTGTAAAACATGGGGATGGCTCAATCCTACATGGCGCTGTCTGAAAATGGGGTAATTATAACTAACGGGAATTATGCCCGTGTATTAGCCATTTGGTGTACCCTATTCTAGATTTTTGATGTACCCTATTCTAGATTTGGGATAACTGTCTCCAAGTTGCATGGTTTATCATAATTGTCCTTTTGCAACGGATATTTTGGGGCTGGGCATCAAAACTTTCACATGTTTGCCCTATCATGTTTGCCTTTTTGGAAAGAGGCGGCTTTGCCTGGTAAAATCGTGCTTTTAAGGCGTTTGCAAACGGGCGTCGGCTCATAAGTCTTGAACTAGGTTCTTCGCTTTTAAGCTATCCTAGTTGCTGGCAATTCCAGCATTACTAATTGGCAGTACATAGTTCATCACCAGAGAATCCGATCCTGCATCAGCAAGCAGCAGATTTCTAGTGTTTTATTTCCAGAATTTCCATGTTTTATTTTTCTGATCTGCAATGGTCAAGTGGTTAGTCTAAATCAAAGAAAAGCTACTGGAAAGCAAACGCATTTTTTCCCCATCGTTTTGGAAAAAATGGCGTTTCCGTAAATGTCCGATCCAGTAAACCGGGGTTTCGCGTTTCGCAGGAAGATGCTTTCAGAGTCACCCGTCTGAAGCCGGACTTCAAAAAGGGCTGGTTTTTGCTGGCCAAGGCCCTCTGGAAGGACAGCGCTTGGGGGCTGCTTGGGGTGCTTGATCTGCACGGTGGCAATGGAAGGTGTTGGAACTGGAGGCTTTACCCTCTGGTTATGTCAACAGTTTGCGAACTTGAAAATGGCCATAGAAATAGTGGATTTACCCATAGCATGGTGATTTTACAGTTCGTTTCTTGTACACGTTTACCAGGCCGGGTAATGGGAAAATCATGGGAACATTTTTGGAACATTCTCTATATATATACATATATATGTATATATATTATATTATATTATATTATATTTATATTATATTATATTGTATTGTATTGTATTGTATTGTATCATATCATATCATATCATATCATATGATATTGTATTGTATTGTATTATATTATATTATATTATATTATATTATAAATGGAGGTCTAGAGCTGGGAAAACCACGTTTGATTTCCGCAATGGACCAAGTTTTGCGGCTGGTGAACATAGCGTTGTCAGTTTTTGGTCGCCTCATCTCCGTCCCAATGGTGAACTCCAGAATTTCCACAAGACGTTTTACGATTTTTTCCAGGATGTGGCTTGAAAATCCCATAGAAATCCCATAGAAATCTACTGGTTCTCCCATTTTTTTCATATTTTTTCCACCTTTTCCAAGGCCCAGCTGCCCAGCCCTCCATCTTTTGAGGAGGGTCACTTGGACGAGGCCAAGCTGGAGCTGGAATCTGCGGTGAAGCAGGTGGCAGATGCGGCGGATCTGCATGAGCTGCTGACGCTGGGCGAGTTGGAGGGAAAATCCAAGGGCAGCTTGGGGGATGGGAATCATCAATCCATTTTTCAAGGGGTTGATAATAATATAATATAATATAATATAATATAATATATAATATAATATAATATAATATAATAACATATATATATAGTATATATACATTATATATGTATAATATATATATATATATACTGGGGTGCGTTTAAGACAATCCAAGCATAAACATGTTTTTTCGTCAATTTTGGTAATGTGAAAAAATAGCCAGCTATGCACTATCATAGTTGTATATTCTGAACTTGATGTTTTCGGAGCCTCCACAAAAGGATTATCTGAATCTTGAACTGCTCCTAATTTGAGGGGTGGTCTATGCAGGGTGGGGTGCAAAGGTTGTGGGGGAAGTCCAGGGCTGGTGGCCAAATCCTGGCGCCCTGCAGCGGCCACAAAAACTATATTTTTCCCTGTTCCTGGGTGGGCCCAATAGGTGATAGGAACTACTGGCAGGGGGAAAGACCTTTGATACTGTAAGGGCTGCTGGACTGATGTAAGTGAAAATTCAAAAAATTACAAATCGGTCTAAATGCATTTAAGATAATCACGGATGTAAGGAGGGGGTCTGCAGAAACATCAGCCGGGAGCGCTCCGGAGTGATGTAAGGAGAGGGTATCTCAGATCCCCTCCTTACATCAGTGATTATCTTAAATGCACTTGTTCAAAATCACAAAAAAAAAAGCATTGATTTTCCCCCCTTTTTTACATGCCGCTTCCGTTGTTTGGGATCTAAGGCAAGCATCTAGGAATGGGTGTCAACCTGCGACATGGATCATGAAATCAACGGAAACTCATCAATGGTAGTTGGTTTTATATGACCACCTGGGTGACGACCGAACATCCCAAGTTCAATGGGTCACCAAGGGGTCACAGATGAAAAATCGTCACATCATGTTCAATGGGTCACCCAAAAATGCCTAGTTGTATGGCCATGCAGCATGCACCCCTAGCTAGCCAAAAGACGAATGGGTCCATCGTCGGAGTTGGGCTGCCATTGGAAAATCACCACAAGGTGTCAATGGGTGATTCCCTAAGAAAACATGCAATTTCCCAACCGAAAAATGGTGGAATCTCATAGTTACCCCAATTGGTCCAATGTGGAATCAAAACAAATGTCAATCTCCCTGAACACCAGGGCGAGCATTCTAGATATTACTCAGATTAAACTTGGTGAAAACCACACACGAAATATTTGGCTATCTTAGATGCAGGCCAGTATATATATATATATATATTTATATTTAACATTATATTATATATATGATATATCATATATATATATATCATTAGAAGAATTACTGAGCAAAGCATATACAATCTTTTGACGTATCAAAGATATTGATATGGTTTCATGGTTAAAGAATAGTTTCACAAAGCCTAGTTGACTATATAGGCAAGTGTTTGGGAGTTGATCATGATTTATGTCTTCCTTGGCCATATTTATTGGGATGCAGTTATATTGGGGAATATTCATATAGTATAATATTATTTGCTAGTGATATACTGGGATAGAAAGCCACAAATATTATGAGTATACAATGTATATATATATATATACATGGCCCAGCGTCTGGTGGTCCCCCCTCCCCCCGAGATGGTGATGGTCCCTATATGTATATGTAACATGTAAGTTAACTATATATATATATATGTAAGTAGTGGGTATATATATATATATCTATGTGTACATGTGTGTGTATACGTATGTAGTATGTATATGTGCGCACGTATACAGTATATATATATATGTGAACACGAGACACTGGACCACACACACACACATATATATATATGTTCAAAAACGAGGCAGTATACCCCAAAATGCACATCTCAGTGTGGACAATGATAGTATGTAAAATGTAAACCATAGGAGTCTGGGATGCCTGATTTTGAGACAACCCTGTGGACAACCCTGTGCGAAAGCAAAACCTGCATGGCGGAATCAGATGAGCAGAGTAGTGTCCAATTGTGTAAAGCCGCATCAACAAGTAGACAGGAAGGCAACTTGGTTTCATGATGTTTATTCAACATTTCGCAAATTTGCAAGTTTTAGTACTAATCCCTTCCCCCTAATACTAAATTTAAATCCCTACTCGTAATATAAACAAGTTTTTTTTCTATTTCAAAATCGATTAGATTTTCTTCAAAATCTGATTAAAATATTGTCAAAAAATTGGATTTCGAAACTTCCCCCTTATACTAAATTTAAAACCCTAATATAAAAAAGTTCTTTTCTATTTCAAAATCGATTAGATTTCCTTTTAAAATCTAATCAACATATTGCCAAAAATTGGATTTTGAAGCTTCACCCTGATATTAAATTGAGCACCTTAATATATATTTTTTTTCGACCTTAAAAAACGGACCCTAATGAAAAACACCCCGGGGTTGACTGGTTTATATTATTAGGGGGTGAAACCCTGAAATGGTAGCTTCATTTTTAATTTGTTATCTAAAGGGGATCAATTAAAAATCAAACTGGCCAACCTCAAATTGTCCAAAATTGGAGACAGACTTTATAGTTTTTATTATTTGGGAGGGGGTTTAGTAATAGGAAGGGATTATCTCTCTCTCTCTCTCTTATATATATATCAATCATCCCTCTATATAATCTATAGATCTAAATATATATATATATAATCCCTCCCTATTATTGTGATATATCTAAGAATATATATCTATGTGATCCCTATATATCTTCTTTTCGTTGTGGTGCGAACAGCGAGGATTGAGATTCAGCACGCGCTGAACGAGTCGACTGCAGGCTCCCGATGGACGATTCATGGATAGGTGACCTACATGACGTGACGTTTTAAACGATAAGTTCATAACGTTAAATGTTGAACTAATTATTGTAACTATATTACTATACATTAGGATAACTATATTCATAGAATCTAACATAGGATAAGAGTTATTAGTAATAATTAATATGTATAACTATAACCAAACTATAACTAAACTATAGATATATGAAAAACGGGTGTATTATATATTGATTAATATTATATTAGTATTAGCATAAGCCAGTTATGTGGACATGTAACCCATGGATTGCCACAAGACACCGGACAAAAACACGGCAAAAACCAGCGTGTTTTTTTTTTTTTAGCAACAAAGAAAACACGTGGTATTTCTAGGAATGTGTAGGAATTTCTAGGGTTTTATGGGGAATATAACTAATTATAAGCTATAACTACTATAGCTCTATATGTATATATATATATATTGGGAAGAAACTTAATCAGCTAACAATTTGTTGGACTATAATGGGATAATAATGATATTCCATTTATGGTTAATGATGGCATAACTGGGATAATCATATTAATAGATGGCTGGTAATGATTAATGATGATCTGGCTGGGTGATAGACCGGGGGGCCTCACCTTGTAAAACGATCTCCCTTTGAACCGGTCTCTGAAAACCAACACATTTCCCCCCCAAGATAGAAACATGTATATAGAACTGTGATTTCTCCTTCTGTGTTGATGGTCATATACATATATCTCTGGTTAACCATAGGAAAACCATAGGAAAATGATGGAAAATTGTGATTTAATGATGATTAATCCATGATTAATGGTGATTAATGGTGATTTACCCTCTGGTTATGACTAACATAGCCATGGTATAGATGGCCCATTTAAATAGATGGTTTAAATGGGTGGATTTTCCATGGCAAACTGTGAATGTCATAACCAGATCCAACTCACAATGGACCGATGGAATTTCCGACATATCCCAGTGAATCGCGACACCAGAAAACACGGGGAATCGCTACAATTTGGAGTATGGTGATCATCCAAATTGACCAACATGATTCCAGAACATGTTACCCTCTGGTAAACTAACGTAACTATGGAAAATCACCATTTTTAATGGGTAAATCCACTATTTCAATGGCCATTTTCAATAGCAAACCGTTAGTCATTACCAGAGGGTAGTCAAAGATCTTCACCATTTTCCGAGCCCCAAAAAATTGGTTGATCATTTTCCAAGTCTCTGAGACTTTGGTGATTGAAATTTTAAGAAGTTAGAGAGTTTGGTTACTGGGTTACTGGAGTATCATACTTTATACAATCTATAGATATCTATACTATATTACTCTATATTTCCAGTAGGTGACTTTAACAACAGTGAGACTTTGGTGATCATCCAAATACGCCAACCATGGTATTACCCTCTGGTTATGACTAACAGTTTGCCATGGTTAAGCCATGGCCCTAATCGAAATAGATGATTTTCTCAGCGAACTAAGCCTCCAGGGATTTTCCATGGCGAACTGTTAGTCATAACCAGATGGTATAATTCTTGTAACGGAGATGTTTCGCAAAGTTTTTAGAGGTACATAAGGAGGGTCTCAATGTGTTTAGTGATCCTCGAGTTGTACCGGTGGCAGTTGCATATGCCTAGGCCATTTGCCAGCTATCTCCTTGCGCCGGCAGAGCATGAGTAGCACCTTGGCACCCTGAGCACGGCAGAGACAGAGCTTGTCCGGTGATGATGTGTAACTGGAACATTTATATGTATAACTATATATATACACATACAACGGTTTCAATCATAGTATCATAGATTTATGTTTACCTCTGTGATGATGATGATGATGATGATGATGATGATGATGATGATGATGATGGGGATGATGATTATTTCAATCCAAATTCTGAGTTTAATGCTGCAACTTCTGATGACCAGATCAATGCAGTTGATGGCTTCATTTGATTTCATTTGGGTCTTTGTGAAAATTTGAGAGCTCTGACGCCCGAAAAATCACCAACATTAGTTTTATTCCTCATGTTTCAAGATTCATCAATAAATAATAGATTGTTCAATACATTTCCATATGTTTCACCATCCATTTTGTGGTCGGAACATTTTGAGAAACCAAAATCACTGCAAAGAAGAAACACACGCTATGTTAGCTATATTGCTTTATCTTTATTCAATCTAATCAAGCTTCTTTGATGGTCAAATTATATTGCCATTTCGGTGAATTTCCCATCACTTAATAGTGACAAGGTCATAACTCATAGCGGCTACTGTATATGTTACTACTACATTAATAATTGTCAATTACTAGTGATAATAGTTTTTTTGTAATATTGATATAGCCATTCAACCACTGAACCACCATATACAGTTTATAATATAGTTGGTCGTATTAACCATTCAACCAGTCAAGGGGGTAAATACATCAATACTACTAACAATATTATTATACTTTTGCCAACCATTGTTATTATACAACCATTATGAATATAGTAGTATATATGAAATATACTATGGATAGTTACATTGATATAGCTAGTATATTATACAATGATCACATTAACCATTCAGCCATTGGTACATTAAGACCATTGGTATATTACCACATACTATATTATAATATTGTATATACTATACATTAACAACGGTGACTTCAAAGTGGGCCCCCCCTAGATAGCTAAGTTGGTTTATAACTCCAATACCGATGGTTTCTGGTAATGCTTTGAAACCAACTTAGTTACAAGCTCCCATTCAAATTCACCATTCAATGGGGTATCAACCGCAATCATTCGCCCATTCGAAGAACCTCCCAGGAAGCGTCTCCCCCGTGGCCACGCCCCCCGCCGCCGCCGCGGCACGCCCGGTGCAGCCGCCGCCGTCGCTGCGGCGCCCCATGCCACCGCGGCGCAGCCCCACGCCGCCGTCGCCGCCCGCGGGTGCCGGCCACGGCCACGGCGGCCACGGCGGCCACGGTGGCCATGGCGGCCACGGCGGCCACGGCGGCCACGGGTTGGGACACTCCCAAAGTTTCCAAGGGTTAGGTGAAAGGCGGGAGAAAACATGGGACATCATGGGACATTTTTTAGATATTTCTGTGAGTTATGTGTAGATTTTATTTGGATGACAACAGGGAAGTTTCATGAGTTTTATCTGCAGATTATACATCTGATTAATTAATGATGATTATAGGTCTTTAGCTGCACAAAATTGTCGTGTTTCTAGTTTCTGGACATTCGAAAGTGACTGAAGGATAACGACAGTTGGTTTTGTGAAGGATTTGTACCTCTCCTTGTGAAGCTTGGCTGGATGAACCTGAGTCCATGGCCCACCAGGGCCCGACAGATGGGAGGCTTGAACCTGAAACATGTTGTGTTTCAAATCCGAACAAATGGCTAACATCATTTCCAGATCATTCAATGTCAGCCCGGGATTAACAATCCATGGTCTATTAATTGGGGTGGTACTCCCCAATAGTCAGAATATGATACTTAAATGGTACCCCCCAATGTCCAAGAGTGCTGGGTGCCACGGAATCTTTCGCGCAGGCAGGGCTCGCTGGATGCATTGTCGGCGCTGTCTGCGACGCGGCGGTGTAAGAGCAACTGGCGATTCCCAAGGAGCTTCGAGACCCCAGTGCCAGTGGTAGACCTCACCTGGCATGGTGGAATCCAATGTGGATGATGATCAATTTGATGAATGATAATTAACTGGCATTTGATAACTGACATTAACTGACAGTTACGAAAAAATACTTTATGATGGATTTTAGATGATGATAAATCCTAGTGATTGATGTTTTCAACGGGAATTCATCCGTCCCATTTTTTTTTCTGATTTGGGAGTTTGGGAACTAAGGACGACCTTTTTTTCAGCCGCACATTTTTTGGATTCTATGGGTCAAAAGTGGATGTTTGAAGCAAAATCAGCAAAGGAAGAGGGTGAAGATGAACATACCCTCTGGTAAACTAACATAGCTGTTGAAGCCATGGCTCATTGAGTTCGTTGATTTACCCATTAATAGCATGGTGATTTTCCATAGCGCAAACTGTTAGTTTGCCAGAGGGTAGATGAGGTAGTATACGCATGGCAATGCGCTTCGCGGCTTCAAATTGACTGTTGATCTATGAGCTGTTTTGTGGTCCAAAAATTGAATGATGCTCCCCACCCCAGGTGACTATGGATTGAAGCCAGCCAGTACCCCCCCAAAAAAGTGATGGTTTTCCATTCACCCTTGAGACCAACCGGGAGTTTATTCATCCGGGTGAGCATTACATGATTTACATGGTAATCCCATTCCCCAAGAATTCCTTAATATTGAATTCCTTCAAATGAGCTAGCAAAAATCAATAGATCCAATACAGAACAAGGGCTTCTGGAGGTGATTTCTTCATATTCAATCCCCGTTGAATCGAATTAATTCCCCTATCACCCCCCATTCAATTCCATCAAGTCCCATTGAACACCCATTCAATATACCCAAAAATCTACTTTTCGTAACTCCCAAAAAGCCAAAAACAGGTTCAATGTTCCACCATTGAAGCTGGAATTGATATGAATTTAAAAGAGAATCCTGTTTTTCCTATGAATCCAACCAAAAAAAATCCCCAATTTTTCCATGAATTTTCCCATGTTCATCCCGGTTGAAACAGTCGAAACTGCATCGAAACCATTTCCAGGACAGGCCTGGAGAACAGCATGGGAGGTCTTGAAGGCACGGCACGCTTTGGTGAAAGCACCGCTGCGACTTGGCCGGCACCGGGGGCACAGGGGGTCACCGTGACGTGGAACTTGGGACACCTTAGGAGTCTCTGAAAAATAGGGTGTATATATATAATATATATATATATTATCTGGCGGGTGGTTTGGAACATTGGTTTAGTATGGGATAATGATGGTTAATGAGATGGTTAATAATGGTTAATAATCACTGGTTGGTGGTTTGGAACATGATTTTTTTGGTTTTTCCATATATTGGGAATAATCATCCCAACTGACTTTTATTTTTCAGAGGGGTTGAAACCCCAACCAGTGATATAATTACATAAATTATGTATATACATGTATATAGCATCCCTCAAACTAACATAGACTCAGACCCGGAAATCATGAGCGGTTTAGAAGCGGGTCGTTCTCCAAGCCCCTCCTTGGCAGGCTCTAAGTCTATGGTAACTGAAGGGATGATACCTTCAAACATCATTTGTTTAAGGGAGCATAATGATTCATCAGTGTGTTTTTGGGGACAGTATTTTCAGTCAAGCCCATATGAAAACCATGCAAATATTAGGCATCAAACCATAGATAAATCATGATAAATCAGCAATATTTAGAGTGAAGCAGAGAAAATTGGATTTTCGATCAGTGTGTGTGGTGTTTTTCCAGGGGATAGCAAGAGAAATATCAGATTTGCAGTAGAATTTAATCATCAAACAATTAAGTTTAACCATCAATTACTTGGGATTTAGCGAGAACAAAATGCGTGATTCAACCCGCTGAGATAGTGGTGATTCAACCGACAAACATGGAGGACTTGAAACCAGCAAACATCAGGAACACACCATTACCCTCTGGTAAACTAACATAGCTATGGGAAATCACCATTTTTAATGGGAAAATCCACTATTAATGGTCATTTTCAATAGCTATGTTAAATTACCAGAGGGTAAACATCAAACCTATGAATGAGTTGACTTGAGAATGTATCCTTGCAGAGATCCTTATCATGGATGCAGTTGTTGGGTGATACGGTGATACCCTTAACCAAGGGCTCATGTATCAGTTAAATGCTGTTACAATAATATCTTCTGTTCATAACTGGTTGGTGGTTTGGAATATTTTTTATTTTTCCATCTATTGGGAATTTCATCATCTCAACTGACGAACTCCATCATTTTTCAGAGGGGTAGGTCAACCACCAACCAGATAATATTACAAGGACACGCCTTGATTTAGCATGGCATCCATGGGGTCCTTGCCTGCCTTGAGAAGCCGAAAGTCAATGGTTCCCAAAGGTGAAAGATCCCCATCAACATTCATAGAATGCCGCTGAAATCATACTATTTGGATAGAAACACCTCTTGTCATCACATTCTCATTGTCTACACTCAAGGTTTCAAGTAGAACCTCAAACGTTGGAAACAAAAGAGATGATCTCTACATTGCCAATTGCCTCTATTGGACTCCATGCTAGATTTATTGGCAGTATCCCCAGCATCTTTGGATTCTACTTGAACGTTTGCATTCCAGGGAAAGGCGTAAGCAAAGTCAGTAAAAAGCGGCCAAGATCAGCACTACGGCGGCCGAACGGACTTCGTTCGTCATTTGATCAGAGCTTTTAGCATTTTGCTGCAGTTCGAAAAGGGAGGACAAGCACAACGGATGCCATATACTCGAAAGTATACTTCGCGCCTGGCTGCGGGAAGCAGGGCAGCTCCCAGTCGCTAAGTTTGACTCATGTTGCAATGATACAAGGTAGCTCAATGATATATTTTTTGGGTTGGAAACCCTTGGGTCCGGCACATCCTTTGGAAGTGCGCGGCGCTGATGCTTCAGGACTTCGGAGAGAAGTTGAAGTATTTGAGCCGCACAGGAAGTTGGGGGACCCAAGTGGTGTGAAGCGCAGAACGTTGTCCAGCCCTGACCATGGCCATGGAGGCCATGGTTTGTTATAACGCTTTTGCAATCACAAAGAAAACGGCCACGGCCATTTATATAAACATTATGAGTATCGGTCCCACTTTGGAACTCTGGAGGATTCTGGAATACTTGAAGCTTTTGCTGACCAAGCGAAGACCCAGAAAATCGCCCAAACATATTTGTACCATTATTGTTTATTTTCCCATAAAAGGGGATGGTCATTTCATGTCATTTCCCTATTTTTGGAAGTTTCATCGTACTTATCATACTATGAAATCTGCAGATTCCTATCCATGTTGGTGGCATTCATATGCTTGCGGGGCGCAGTTGAGGTTATGAATGGCTTTAGGACCATGATTTTTGTTGGGGTTCCATATCCCACCTTCCGGGGTTTAAAATCTTATAGTTTTACAAGGTGAAGGTTGCCAGTTTTAAGTTGATTTGTAGCCCCATTTAGCTATGTACATATAATATAGATATTTTCCCCATAAACCGTCATGAGCCAAATTGGCTATTTAGGGGGGTCCCACCTTCCATGAAAATGACCAAACTGGTCAGCGCACCTGTGGTGACGGGTTGGGCCAGATGGCGTTTTTGGAAAGAAAGAGGCGAAGACCCTTTGGGTTTGGGCCTCGGAAAAAATTGCCGGTGGTTTTCTGGGGGATTTCATGGGGATATCGGATATAGAATCAACAAAGATAAACCAACATTGGTATGTAATATTAGGGATGGCTCCTTCTCGGGACTACCAAACTATCATAGTTGAACCATGCTATATCCCTATTGCGAGTGAAACAATGGAATTCGCCATCCCCAAATTTACCATTTATATGGGTGGCAACCATCAATCCATATGGGTGGTTTATTGTTGTTTTACTAACGTTCGACATCATTAAACCAACACAGTAAATACGATGTTTTTTGTTTAAAACATTTTTTTTAAACTGAGGTTTCTTGCAAGCTTGGTTGGTCCGGCGGCAACCCTTTCGCACAAAATGATGTTTGAGTGTCCAAACCTGTGGGTTTCTTCGAGTTTGGTTGGTCCTGGTAAAGGGTCTGCGTGTACAAGTGCTTGTGTGTAATTTTTGTGTGTGTGTAAAAACGTCTGCGTTTAAAGCGTTTGTGTGCAAAAACGACTGTGTGTAAAAGTGTTTGTGTGTAAAAGGGTTGTGTGTACAAGTGTTTGTGTGTAAAAAAAATGTGTGTAAAAACGTTTGCGTGTAAATGTGTTTGTAGATGCGTGTAAACTTGTTTGTGTATAAAAGTCTTTGCGTGTAACAGTGTTTGTGCGTAAAAGGGATTGTGTGTAAAAGTGTTGGTGCGGTAAAAAATCTGTGCGTAAAACCCAGTTGTGTGTGAGGCATGTTTGATCATGTTTGTATGTATGTATGTAAAAATGTATGTCTCAATTTTTCTTCCTGTGTCTCCTTTGTTTCATTTTTTTCTCCTTCAATTTCTTCATATGTACCTACTTTTCACAACATGTCTGCACCATGTGTCTTGATTTTAGGCAACATCGTATGTCGTATATTTTTATTTTATATTTCATGTTATAAGATCTTCATACTTATACCTCTCACTATGCTCCTGTACACTCTCGAGCCATCCGTCGTCTAGTTGAAGTGGTAAATTTTGGCATTTCACATCATTTGTCCCATCAAACATTAAAACAAACACCAAAAAAATCTTTATAAAATCCGTAAAAACACCATAAAATCCTTATAAAATTACCATAAATAAATCTTTATAAAATCCGTATAAACACTATAAAATCCTTATAAAATCCCTAAAAAACACCCATAACATCTCCATAAAATCCACATCAAACCTCCAAGCTCCGCATTGCGGTGGACCTCAGGACTTGGCTCAGCGTGCTGCATTGGCAGCACAGGAGACCCTGAGGCATGGAAGCTTTCGGAAACCACCGGTTTTTTTGGGGGCTATAAAAGTGGATTTTACCATAACAGTCACCAAAATTTGGAAATTTCAGTGGTACTCTGGGATGGTTTTACCCATAATTTGTTTGATTTATGTTCGATCTTTGTGGTTCGTGTTTGATTTTTTTAGAATTTGTGATTTTACACTTGTTGAACCGTTTATATAGAAACTCGTCCGTTTCGGTGATGTTAGCTGTAAGGGATGTATTTACCAGTAAGAGTGAACGTGTTGGAGGTCAACATTGAACCAACTGCATTTTGTATGGTTCTTGCCTCCCAAGACTGTTTTCACGGTGGGGATAGCTTGACCCCGTTGGACACCAGACGGCAGGTGAACTCCGCCACGGCCACGCACAGATTTTTTTTGCGCCCAGCGTTTGCACAGGAATTTGAGGCCCAAGACGATTGGGTGCAGCTTCTATGAATGGAACTTGGGAGGCCTTTTTCTTGCACTATCAGTGAACTATCGTTGTTGAAGGTTTCAACGTATTTGTCAACTTTTTAGAGGATGGTTTTCTAACATGTTATAAATGACCTTCATATTCTTGGCATGACTCAAACAAATTACATATACCTATATACCATTGCATCCCATGTTAAATGGCTGCATCCAACCACCTCACTGCATAAAAACATATGGAAAGTGCATGGTCCAGTGGGGCCCCGATCGGGCCCGATCGTCCTCTCCCAAGGAGTTGGGGGTCGCCGATCTTGCTGGTTGCCCTGCTGGAACTGGTTTAAGGGGAGGTTGAGTCATCAAATGTAGCTGAGAGTGTAACTTTTCATTGAGCAATGCAATCAGATCTGTTCATCTGCAGTGGTTCTGACCATTTATCAGGAATGATGTCTAGTGCTATCATCAGCAGTGGTTTCTTTAAGATTCTTTAACCACCACCCTGATTTTACTCATGCATCATGATACTTCCAGTAGCCTTCTTTCAGACTTTCCCTTTGAGTCACCGTTGAAAACGGCTGATTTACATTTTGAATGACCCGGGCCGGGGTTCGGTGGACTTGACTACGGCACAGAAGGGTCCTTCCACCTGCGGGTTCCAAGTCGACGCTTTGGTTGGCTTACAACTTTTGAAGACAATAAAAAAGCAGAGCTGGGTGGTGTTTTGCCCTTTGGATGTCATTTTGTTTGGCTCAGATGGGATGCACATCCCACGAGGCAAGCTCAGCTGTCAAGGAGGTTGGGATGGTCACGATTTATCGCTTGCCCCGAGTACATCGGCTTCAGCGACCGACAGCGAAATGGACCCAAGAAGCTCTCAGATGTCAGGTCGAGGATTGTCGCGGTTTTTGGAGATGTTGGAAACGAACAGAACTGAGAAAGGGCAATATAACAAAATCATATCTGGCTGGTTGGTGGTTTGGAACATGAATGTTATTTTTCCATGTATTGGGAATTTCATCATCCCAACTGACGAACTCATATTTTTCAGAGGGGTAGGTCAACCACCAACCAGCTGGGTTTGTTTGAAACAGGCTACCCGGCTACCCCTAAATTTGATGGTTAAGGACCTCGTTTCCCCATTCAAATGGCCACAACTGGGGGGTAGGGGCCCCATTTTACTTGCTTTGATTCGGTGCTTCGGGGTACGCGCCATGGCGGTAGATGAGGTGCGTTCTGCTTGGGGGGCTTGTGATGTCAGCCCGAACGAACCTGTGGCTTTCATGGGATGAGGATGAATCATATCTGTGGGATAACAACTAACCAAGAACATATGAAAAAATTGGGTGTGTGCTTTAAAAAGGTGGAGTTTCCTCAATTTGATGGTCATTGATTTTGATGAAACTTATCCATTGGATTTGGTTTCGGTACATGCTACAAGGAAAATGCTCGTGATGCAATTACTGTAAATATCTGACATCAAGATCATCAAGTCGTGGAGCTTTTGGATTTTGGCGACAACAGTTGGAAGTAGTTCTCACACAAGGACTTAGCACTGTTTGTATTGCTGGTCCAGCAATACAAACTGTGGTATATCTGTATGGAATTTCTGTTGATTGGTTCATGTCCCTCTCATAGTACCCTACTGTATGCACAAAGATCTTGGTTCCATGGCAACGCTGAGCTGAGATGTACACGAAAAACTTGTCTCGAGATCTTCTGGTAATAGTTTAACATAGTTTAACCATGGAGAAAGCCATAAAACCCACCATTTTTAATAGGTAAATCCATGTAAATCATCTAAACTCATGGGCCATTTTCCATGCCCCGTGCGTTTACCGTGCCGGTGCATCAGGTCGATGAGTTGGTTCAGGTGGGGTCAGGGTGAATGGATCAACACGGATTGATTTCACAGATTGTTTTCAGGAAACCTATGGAAACCCTGAGTTTTATCCCCAAACCTTGGGGGTTCCTGAAAATGTTCCCAAGCAATTCTAGGAATGTATGAGTCGCACTGAAGTCACAGGCTGGAGCCCACAAAAACATTTATTTTTTCAAAAAATCATCATTTTGGCTATCATCAAAATCATCTCAAAGTCTTCGGCTGCTTGGACAGCTGTTTTTGTGTATTCATGTGGATCATCATTGAAATTTTCACCAAAAGACCACGGTCGCCCGGATCCTCGGACATGGAGAAGAGCCTCCAGAGCTGCTGCGGCCCTTTTTGGGAGCTGGAAAAATTGTCAAATTGCGTTAAATCAGGCAAAAACCAGAAATTGTTGCAAAAAAAACTCGATTTCCTTTCTTTTTTCGATGTATTTTCAATTTGTTTTCGTTTGTTCGTTTTTTCCGATCGTTTTTTTCGTTTTTGCTTTTGATTCTTGTCGGTTTTTCTCGCTTTTGAATCCAATTTGACAAAATCCCAAAATTGCAAACAACCTCAATTTTTTCTGTGTGTTTTTGTGTTTTTTTTTGTTTTGTTTATTTTCGTTTTTTTTCGAACGATTTTCGAACCGAAAAAACATTTTCAATTTATTCTCGAATCCCAAACAATTTTCAATTTATTTTCGAATTAAGAAAGAATTTTTGAATTATTTTCGAACCTGAAACACATTTTGATTTTGTTTTCGCCATTACCGGTGCGATTGCCAGTGATCTTCGCGACCCTGGCAAGATTTGTTGCAACAAGCTAAAGAGGCATGTTTTGGGAACATTCCGTGACGATGGAAAACTAACCTCATACGGTTTCGACAAACTAGGTGATGATTTTGTGATGTTTTGGGTGATGATGAAAATGATAATAAATTGAAAAAGAACATATTTTTGGATTTCCAATGTGTGGCTAGCTGAAATTGCAATAAAACTACTGTATGTATTAATCATCATTATTCATTTTGCGGATGGCTTCAGTGAAATGCTTCGGACTGTGATCTTTATGCCAGGAGATGTCGCAACATCCTGCCAGCAAATCCGTACCAAACAGTTCCGTGGCTAGAGCTGGGTGAAACACCTGGGTTTCAGGTGTTAGCTGTTGGGGTGATTTTTGATAATTGCCTGGACCATTTGAAGGATTGTTGGATGCTGTTTGGAGATTTCTGGTGATTTTTGGAGATGTTGAATGATTTTTAGATTATTGTTGGGGATTTATGTTCTTTTTTCTTGCTGATTTGCCGGGGTTTTGTTTTTTTTGGATGTTTTTTTCTTGGTTTTGGGGACGGTTTCTTTGCCTATAGGAATTATTCATACTAGATGATCCTGCCAAAAATCGAAGTTCAAGCAAGTTGGGCATCGAAGACGTGGGGAATTCCAGAAAGATAGGGCCTGGATTTTGGTGCCATCCCCATCGGCCAAGGTCATGAAACAGCTTCTCTTCGGGATCTGTCAGATACGCCCGGGCCCCTGGAGCCCCTGGATTCTGCGAGGCCCAAGGATTCTGCAAGGCCCAGGTGACCCCAAAATTGGTGGATAGGAGGGGGAAATGGGGAAGGGCTGTGTCACTCACTTGCTTCATATGTTTAGTACGGATGGTTCCAATCAAACTCAGAAGCTTTATCAACCAGATTTGGGATGATTTGGGATACAGGTCGATTCCCAATATGGATGGTATAGGAATCACCGCATCGTACCCACTTACCCACTGGTTTCTGCGCTTGCAATGCCTGTTATGGTGACGAGTGTTCATTTGTCATAGAAGAGGTTGAAATATCAGCGGTTTCTGATTAAAGGTGCTGTCCATCGGACCGTCTATGGTGGAATTTGGCGGACGGAAGTTTGGTTTGAACGTTGACTGGTTGGTGGTTTCAAAGATTGTTTATTTTAAGGTTCTGGGCTCAGACCACCTAACAGTTGGTGAACCTTATTCTTACGGAGAGTCTGAGTGTTTCGTGTACCCGATTTGCCATGATGACATTGGGAGAAGCTGGTCATTCGATTCAATGGGGTCCTGGTTTGCAACCTGAAGTGGGTCATCATTATGATATCGTTTTCGATCTAACATCTGCCAGTGAGTATACGGGATCCGTTGCATTGTTGTTTCCATCGTTGAAGCCTGTTCGCATTGTGGGTCTTTGTGATGCGGGTGTGATTGGTTGCAACTTTAGTGCCTTGAAAGCTCGGTTCGATGGTGTGATTGGTGGCCTTTGTCAGTATTCTGTGGACGTAACGAAGTTGATGAAACATGAGGTTTGCAATGTTGAGCATTTGTTTCGGGTTTTGGAGGTTTGTTGTGGGGCTGGATTTACCACTGAGGGGTTGCACGCTGCGGGTTTTGTGACTGACTTGGCCGTGGATTTAAATGAATTGTTCACCAACATGTTCCATGCAAGACATCAGACTGTGACGATTACAGGGGACATCAATTCTGATGATGTTCTCCGGATGATTCACCGCACAGCCCCTGATTGCAAAGTGTTGGCGGCTGGCGTCTCTTGTCATGACATTCGGTCCTCTGCGCTTGTTGGCATTCTTCGGACGTTGTTTGTCTTGAGGATTCCGGTTGCCATTTTGGAGTGTGTTTGTGAAGCTCAGGGTCATGCATGGGTTTCGCAGACATTGCATGGTTTTGCATTATCACATGCAAGATTGCCAGTTGTCGCTTCAAAATGCTTGGCCTTGTTGTCGTGATCGGTGGTGGGTTGTTTTGTCGGCGTTTTCCTTAGGTCCAATTTCATTGGCACAGATGCCCAAGCTGCCTTTTCCTGACCAGGTCAAGCAGGTAATCCCCAGGCCATTGACGCTGCCTGATGATGAACTGCAGCAGCTTGAACTTTCGGTGGATGAATATCGTTTGTTTTTGCGTTTTTCATCTCCTGCCTCTCATGTCTTGCCTTTGCATGGGGTTGCGCCTGCCATGTCGCATTCCTGTGGTTCACAGGTTTTGGCTTGTCCATGTGGTTGCAGGCCTCCGTTCGATGAAAGTATCTTGGCCCGTGGAATTTTTGG